ATTTTTATTTTATTCTTAGTGGCTTCTTCCATCCACAATGCCCACTGTGGTAATTCTCCTCTTCCTTCTGCCAGGTGAATGTTTAAAAATAATTAATTGATTAATATTGAAAATAGTCATTAGTAAATATTATTAGTAGATATTTTTTTTGCACAGTTTAAAGGTTTAAGCCTCATTGTTGCCAATAAATTCTCCTTGTCAGCTTTCTGCGGTGCCGTTGAGGTGAACTGCTCCCAGCCGGACCAGCCCAGCCTCCTGGCGGCTCTGTCTCCCGCCTTCGACCTGAGAGCCATACGACCCGTCGAGAACCAGCTGACCTACACCAACATCAGCGTGCACTTCACTCTCTACGGGATATTAGGGGTGGTATGTGGAGCTCCAAACGCTTTTAAAATAAAATGGGATTTCTTTGATAAAATAAAGAGTCTACAGTTTAATTTTTTATTAAATGTAAATTTTGTTAATTATGTTTTGTCACATTCATATTCCAGGATGAAAAATCCCAGCTGCTCATCACTTACATTTGGCTGAGCTATGTAAGCTATGAAGACATTTGTTGCTGTCTCTCATTTTTATACAACTGATTACTTTCTGTGCATAAATTCTGAAAGCTCACTGAGATTGTTTTTTTGTTTGTTTGTTTGTTTGTTTGCTTGTTTCAGTGGTGGAAGAATGAGTTCATCAGTTGGGATCCAGTCCAGTGTGGCACCGACAAGATTTCTCTTCCCAAGGAAAAGTTTTGGCTGCCAGATATTGTAATCAATGAATTGTGAGTTTAGATTCAGCACTTTAAATTTTGAACAGTAATGTTGCACAATAGGTTCGTTAAAGGCACAGGGTTACAAAAAGATACTTTTTTGTAATTTAGTATATTTTGCACTACTTTAAAGGCTTTGACTCAAGTTAAGCTTACCACATTTCAGCAACAAGGCGGTTCAATAAAATTGCAATTGTTTTTCAGTGGCTCTGAAGGTTCAGGTCTGGGACTGATCACTAGTTTATCTCTGTAATAACTGAAACTCTGTGCAGATTCTTGATTTTGCCTCTTTAGGTCCAAAGATAATAACTTCAGTTTTGTGTCTGTTCAGCTGATAAAGTTCACACACTGATCTTTTCTAAGCATATGTTCAGTGAACTAGTTCAGTCACCAGGTGACTATTATAATGTACAGCTGAATATCATCTGTGTATTCATGGTAACTAATTAGTAAATCCACATTCATATAAGATGAAGTTTTTATTGCTATTTAAATGTTTCAATGATTTTCTCAGATGTAAACTGGGCAGCATATATGTGCACTTTGCCAATATTTTTTGCCAAATATGATCAACGTCAATATGGGTTTTCCCAAACTTGTCATGTTCTGATTTATGCTCTGTTAGCATGGAGGAAAATAAAGCGCCATCAGTCCCATATGTGGACCTGTTTAATGACGGAAAGGTGTGGAATTCGTTTCCTGTCAGAGTTGTGAGCTCCTGTAACCTCATCATCTACACTTTCCCCTTCGACATACAGAACTGCTCCCTGACTTTCAACTCCTACATCTACTATGGTGAGTCTCTCCCTTAAAGTCTTTCTTTAAGTTGAAGTCAAAACTCAATAAAGGTTTAATATATTTCACTGGGATCACCTGTGGTGCTGTAATCAGGATGTAAACAAAGGTTCTGATTGTAGAGCAAAAAATTTTTATGTCAAACTGTGTGCAGGCTGCTAGCTGATGACAGTCTCTGTAGTCCAATAGAGATGCAATGGCATAATTATCACTATTTTATGTAAAAAAATCAACATGTTCAAAAAGTTGTGTTAAAGGCAAGAACACAAGGTTCAATTCATAACTCAGTGAATTGTGCGTCTCTAGAGAGAAATTAATATTGTATTTAATGTATCTATTGACGTAATAAATATTTGTACTTGCCTACCAAAGTCACTATCAATGACTAGGTGATTATCAAAAACAAAAATTATATGTATTAAATATCTTTAATCAAAACTGTCCATCCTCATACTTATTCTCTAAAGAGTGGGTAAAACTTTTCAAAGTATGTTTTGCAATCTTGTTTCTAATCAGAAAATGGCACAAGGAAGTTTTTTTAAAAAAAACTTGAGGTGTACTATACAACGTTAATGTTATATGCACTATATGGACATTGGAAGTAGGATTTTTATAAACACGTGAGAGTTGCATAGAAGATTAACATGATTGTCTGACTGTTGATTTTCCGCTTGAGATATCTGTCAAGGAAATGTGTTGTGAACTTCAGCATGAATTGTTTTTCTGAGATTTTTAAGCAATTGTCTGTAGTATAAATGTGTTCATCTATTGAGCTCACCCATCTTTACTGCATTAATTATTATTAAAAAACACATTGTGAAGGACATAACTGAAAGTGATTGTCAAAAACGTGCAAGTGACAATTACTTATCTCATTTCAAAACTAATAGAAAAGTTTTGACTGGTGTTGCCAGTCACTGGAAAAACCTAATTACATTTTTTCAAACGTTGCAGAATTGTCAAAGGTTTTCCAAAACTGCAAAATGATTAGATGTGGACTATAACTGTAGAGAAAGAAATTCTGTCATTATGGGGGAAATCAATGTTTTACTTTTTTCCCCTGAAATTCTAAAATATTTTTTGAACTATGAAATAGATGACCATATGTTAGAAGGCTGGTGCTTTTATGAAACTTAATGTATGTCCTTTTCTTTCTCCAGCAAATGAGTTCAGAGTTTTCCTGGGGCGTGACCCAGATCTAATCACAGAGTTGTCTAAAAAGGTGATGACCACCATGGGTGAATGGGAGCTGGTGGACATCACCGCACAGAAAATAGTGAAAGATGATGAGACGGGTCTTTATACAGACATGCTTACTTTTTATGTAAGTTGATAGTATATTTTCAAATGATTATATATTATTGAGTTACATATCATAGTAAGAGGGATTCCGGTTTCAATTCTATTCTCCGTACAGATCCGAGTGCGGCGCCGTGCCAACATGTACGTGGTGAATCTGCTGCTGCCCAGCTGTTTCCTCATCACTGTGGACCTATTCAGCTTCCTGCTGCCTCCTCAGAGCACAGACAGGTCCTCCTTCAAGATGACGCTCATCCTGGGCTACACCGTCTTCCTGCTCATCATGAACGACCTGCTGCCAGTCACTGGAAACACCATCCCTCTGATTAGTGAGTCTGAGCTGCAGGGAACATTCATAGTTTTGCACATCTAGTTGTTACAGTGCAGACTGCTTTTTCACTGACTGTAGGTTTTTATTCTTTTCTTTCTGAGGGATTTTTTTCATTTTAAGAAGAAAATAGCCTACCTTCACTCAGCAAGTTTTGATGAATTCGATTCTCTTTTTGAAGGTTTTTCATACTATTAATTGCGATGCTCTACGTCCCTGTACATTGACGTCACACAGCAGCACACGATTTATGGAAGTAATAATGGACGGAGCCTTTTATGGATCAATTTTAAAGTATCATCACAAGATCACAAGATGATCATAATTTTTTAACCGTTATTTATGTCCTTATTTACCACCTCCTCTTTTTTCTGGTGCAGTAAAATGTGACATGACAGTTCAGACTGCAGATGCTTGATACACATATGGATGTGGCACAGAGTGGATTATTTATGTATATAGAGAGTAACTGGGCTGACCAGAGAAAAGGTCGGATAAAAGGTTGCATATGGGCAAAAACATTATAATTAAATATATATATATATATATATATATATATATATATATATATATATATATATATATATATATATAGAGAGAGAGAGAGAGAGAGAGAGAGAGAGAGAGGTAGGTAGAGAGAGAGAGAGAGAGAGAGAGAGAGAGAGAGAGAGAGAGAGAGGGAGCCTAAGACAATCTATCATTTCAATAATGATTCTAATTGACCAAAGCACTTCAAACTTTCCTTTCCTGCATCCTCTGCTCTCTTTCTACCAGATGTCTTCTTCTCTCTCTGCCTGGCTCTGATGGTGGCCAGTCTGCTGGAGACCATCCTCATCACCAACCTGCTGAGCAACTCGCCTGACTTCTCTCCCGTCCCTCGATGGATTCGGATTCTGGTTCTCAATTGTCTCGGCTGTCTCGTTTGCATGCCACGAAACACTGAGAAGACAAAAAACTCAGGTATGCAAGGAACATGAAATGATAAAAATCTAATGAAAAATGAAATAAATGCAATCAGTAATTGGCAAGTGTCATCGTTGTTTCCTGAAAATAGAAAAGAGGAAGACGTCAGTGGCTGCAGAAATGAAATGCAATGAAGGTCCTCCAGGAACAGGAGGACCAGCTGAGGAAGACGAGGCCCTGACGGAGCTGAAGAGCCTGAGCCGCGTCCTGCAGACCATCCGCTGTGAGGTGGAGCAGCAGCAAAAAGGGAAGCAGAGCTCAGAGGAATGGATCCAGGTGGGTTTCATCATTGACCGCCTGCTGTTTGGCCTCTACATCGTCTTCATATCAGTCAGCTTCATCACCATCATTATTGTCTGGATTAACTCATACAACCAGTAGACTGCTGCATGTTGGAGACCTACATTTTATTCAGAACTTGCCTGCAGAGTTTTTTACCAGAATATTGTGATTTTTTTAGAGAATTTTAAACAGTGGTTTATAGCAACAATGTTAGTGCCCTATACTTTAAAAATTGCAACTGTTTAGAAATATAATGTACACACTGATTTATGGGGCTTTAAAATCTCTATTTCATCTTTCAATTATTTAATATTTATTATAGATAATTACAATGCAACGTCTAATGTAACATTGTGAAATTTTAAATGGAGGAAAGGTTTTCTGCAAAATAAAATTTACTTGAAAAATGTCTAACAGCTTTTTATTGAATTTTCTTTCCAACTCCAATTTTCTGTTATTTTATTTCCAACTCCATTATTTTAATTTATAGAGGCTTTTAGTGTGAGATACATAGAAGTCAAACATATTTAGTGATGTTGAATGAAACATTGCAGCTGCTTTTTAAGGTTACGGATAATGATGTTTCTCCAAAGCAAGATAAAACTCAATTTCAACTCAGTTAGACTTTTAGTAATCCTAAATATTAGTGTGAAAAAACATTTTGCTTCTAAATCTGTTGTTCAGTAAACATGTGATCAATGGAAATTTTAAACGTTTTTAAAAAATTATATAATATTGAAAATAATTCCAATCCCACCAAATCAGATAATTTTGTGTTTTACATCTTTAGCCTCCAGGTTTTGCATGGCTTTGAATTGATGACTCATCCAGATCAAATATTATTTCTTTTTTTCCTCATGTTGGGTTATAACTACTAAAAAAAAAACCTGGGCAACTGAAGGGATTTTCAAAACAAAGTGCAAGTAATTTTCCCCCAAAAAATAAATAACTGCTTTTTTTTTTTAACTATTTTTTATCAAGAACACCTTCAAGTCCCATGCACAAATCTAACAGGACAGTCCTCACCACTTACACATCACTCAGTCTAACAACTACTGCTGACCCAGTGTTAATGTTTTTAGTGCTGCCGGCTGAAAGTCAAGCCTTCTAAGCAACTATTCATCCTCATCTCTCTGCTGACTCTGGGTAAGTCAATTTCTTTTGACCTGGTTGAGTTTATGCTCTCATAGTTCTGTTTACAAATAGGGAAGCTATGCTTTGAGTAAAAATGTAAGTATAGCCTATATGAACTCCATCAGGATGTAATAAAACCAACCTGCTCTTATTTCAACCTTGAATGTCCAAAAACAGATTCTACACTGGCTTGTTGAAGTTACCAGAAGTTACTTTAAAAATGAAGTTCATTTCAGAGGAGTTTGTGGCCCACTGATGCAGCATTATGTGATTGTCTGTATGACCCTCAGATAGCTGAGAGTGATTGGTTCTTTCACATGTTGTCACCTTCTAAAGTCTCCAGTAACTCAGATAAGGAGAGCTAGATTTTACGCTAGACGTTTGTTTAAAAAAAAGCCTCCAGAGGAGTCTGAAAGTTTCTCAATACATTCAATATGAGAGAAGCACTGTTGGCGACAGAGCTTCTCTCGTTTTAAACATTTGCATGTCCAGACAAGTTAACTGCTGAACATCTGCTTTTGTAAAAGAGGTCACATTAATTATTGCTAATTAATAGTGAAAAGATATACTCAGAAACTCCTGACTTACCTTCTTATTTTGTATTAAAATGTCACAGATGTATTTAGTTTGTTAGTCAAATTTGTATTTTTGGCTTTATCTTTGTTTTATAAACAATCAAAGTCTGGAATCTGTACATCTGGGTTTACTGTAAAAACTCTATTTTGCCCTGAAACTTTTCATAAAAATCACATAAAACTCCAGACAGGAACTAGCTTCCCTGTTGATGAAGATGTGTGTTATTGATATATTAAAATATTATATTTTCTTTTTTGTCGTTTGCAGTCCCGTTCAACTCCGCCGTTCTGAACTGCTCCCAGCCGACTCCAGCTTCACTGCTGAGCTCCCTAAAGCCAGTGTTTGAGCTGAACGCCATTCGACCTGTAATAAATATGTCGGTCCCAACCCAAGTTACAGTTTCCTTCATTCTCTTTGGTATTTTGGGAGTGGTAAGAACAACTTTTTCTTGTGGTGTAATGTGAAGACATACAGTTAGTTTTAACAAAGACGTAAAAAAAAAATATATATATATATATATATATATATATATATATATATATATATATATATATATATATAAAAAATTCCCTTCTCACCCACCGCGGGTGGTTCTTATCCTCTGAGCTCGGGTCCTCTACCAGAGGCCTGGGAGCTTGAGGGTTCTGCGCAGTATCTTGGCTGTGCCAAGGACTGCACATTTCTGGACTGAGATGTCTGATGTTGTTCCTGGGATCTGTTGTAGCCACTGCTCCAGTTTGGGGGTTACTGCCCCGAGGGTCCCAATGACCACAGGCACCACTGTGGTCTTCACCTTCCAGGCCCTCTCCAGTTCTTCCCTGAGGCCCTGGTATTTCTCCAGTTTCTCGTGCTCCTTTTTCCTGATGTTGCAATCACTTGGTATTGCTACATCAACCACAACGGCTTTCCTCTGATGTTTCCACTACGACAATGTCTGGTTGGTTCGCCATTACCATTTTGTCTGTCTGGATCTGGAAGTCCCACAGGATCTTAGCTCTGGCGTTCTCCACCACCTTTGGGGGTGTTTCCCACTTTGATCTCGGGGTTTCCAGTCCATATTCTGCACAGATGTTTCTGTACACTATGCCTGCCACTTGGTTATGTCGCTCCATGTACGCTTTCCCTACCAGTATCTTGCACCCTGCTGTTATGTGCTGGACTGTCTCAGGGGCCTCCTTGCACAACCTACACCTTGGGTCTTGTCTGGTGTGGTAGATCTGGGCCTCTATTGCTCTGGTGTTTAGGGCCTGTTCCTGGGTGGCCAGGATGAGGGCCTCTGTGCTGTCCTTGAGTCCAGCTTTTTCCAGCCATTGGTAGGATTTATTGATATCAGCCACTTGGGTTATTTGCTGGTGGTACATCCCATGTAGTGGCTTGTCCTCCATGATGGTATCTCTGGCACCTCAACCTCCGTTCCCTGTTGTCTGAGACATTCACTGAGCACATTGTCTGTTGAGGCTTTGTCCCTGATGTATTTATGGATCTTAGTTGTTTCGTCCTGGACAGTGGTTCTCACACTCACTAGTCCTCTGCCTCCTTTCTTGCGGCTCGTGTACAGTCTCAGGGTGCTGGATTTGGGGTGGAACCCTCCATGCATGGTTAGTAGCTTTCTAGTCTTAATATCTGTGGCTTTTATCTCCTCCTTTGGCCAGCTAATTATTCCAGCAGGGTATCTGATTACTGGCAGGGCATAGCTGTTTATCGCACGGATTTTGTTCTTGCCATTGAGCTGGCTTCTCAGGACTTGCCTTATTCGTTGGAGGTATTTAGCTGTGGCTCCTTTCCTTGTGGCCTCATCGAGGTTGCCATTTGCTTGTGGTATACCTAGGTACTTGTAACTGTCCTCTATGTCTGCTATTGTTCCTTGTGGGAGTGAGACTCCTTCTGTGCGGATCACCTTCCCCCTCTTTGTGATCAGCCGACCACACTTCTCTAGTCCGAATGACATCCCAATGTCAGTGCTGTAGATCCTGGTGGTGTGGATCAGTGAGTCGATGTCTCGCTCACTCTTGGCATACAGCTTGATGTCATCCATGTAGAGGAGGTGACTGATGTTGGCCCCATTTTTGAGTCGGTATCCGTAGCCAGTCTTGTTGATAATTTGGCTGAGGGGGTTCAGGCCTATGCAGAACAGTAGCGGGGACAGAGCATCTCCTTGGTATATGCCACATTTGATGGACACTTGTGCAAGTGGTTTGCAGTTGGCTTCAAGGGTGGTTTTCCACAGCTTCATCGAGTTTGCAATGAAGGCTCTCAGAATCCTGTTGATGTTATACATCTCTAGGCATTCAATGATCCAAGTATGCGGCATTGAGTCATAGGCTTTCTTGTAATCGATCCAAGCCATGCACAGGTTGGTGTGTCGGGTTTTGCAGTCCCGGGCAACTGTGCGGTCTACGAGGAGTTGGTGTTTGGCTCCTCTGGTATTTACACTGATACCCTTCTGTGCCGTGCTCATGTGTTTATCCATGTGTTTTCTTATCTTGGCCGCTATGAGCTTCCAGGTTGTGGAGAGGCAGGTTATTGGTCGGTAGTTGGGTGGGACTGGACCCTTTGATGGATCCTTCTGGATTAGGATTGTCCACCCTTCAGTTAACCATTCAGGGTGAGTCCCACTTTGTAGCAGCTGGTTCATTTGGGCTGCCAGTCGCTCATGGAGAGCAGTGAGTTTCTTTAGCCAGTAGGCATGGATCATGTCAGGCCCTGGTGCTGTCCAGTTTTTCATGCCTGAGAGTCTTTCTTGAACATCTGTCACAGTGATGGTTACCGGGGCTTGCTCAGGGAGGTTGCTGTGGTCCTCTCGTAGAGAGATCAGCCACTGTGCATTGCTGTTGTGGGACGCCTCCCTTTCCCATATGCCTTTCCAGTATTGTTCAGTCTCCAGCCTTGGAGACTGAACTATATATATATATATATATATATATATATATATATATATATATATATATATATATATATATATATATATATATATATATATATATATATATATTTGTAAAAGTTAACAACTGCTGCTTTTAAAAAATAATATGAAAAGTTCACTGTTCTTTTCAGGATGAGAAGTCCCAGGTACTGACAACTTTCATTTGGGAAACTTTAGTAAGTGTTTTCCTTGAAATCGCTTTCATAAGTAATCTATCAGTGATTCTAACTTATAATACCAAACCTTTTGATCACACTGAATCTATCAATGTGCCTAATGATGTAAAGTGCAAAACCTGCTGTTGCTGAGGTAATTTCTGGTATTTATATTGAAAGCATATAATTATGTGTACAGATGTGGAAAAATGAATTTACTATTTGGGACCAAGTGGAATGTGGTGTGGAATGGATTGCAATTGAACGAAACCTGCTCTGGGTGCCAGATATCGTCATCAACGAGTTGTAAGTTTTTCTCTGGCTGTAGATGAATAACTTGGGGCATAAAGATCTCAAGGTTTACACAGGAAATTACTTTCCTGTATATACATACATATACATATATATATTACATATATATTTCACCATTATTACCTATATTGTGTGTGTTTGTTGCATAAATATTGTAGTTTTGATGTAAAAACATTATAAAAGACATGAATGTGTTAAAAATCCCTGGTGATTATTGCCTCAAGAAACATCAGGTTGCTGACATTTTCCAATCTAATTAGAGTGTTCTTGTTAGTTATTGAAATTCAACCAGGTGAAAATAAGATATGTACCGTATGTAGTATTATCTGTGTCTGACTTTCTGCAGCATGGAGAAGAACTTAGCACCAAGCGTCCCGTACACATACCTCCATTCCAGTGGTCTGGTTTATGATAGCTTGCCTGTCAGAGTTGTGAGCTCCTGCAGTCTCAACATCTACCTGTTTCCATTTGATATTCAAAGATGCACTTTCACTTTCAATTCCTACATACACCTCAGTAAGTACAAACTATGTAGACTATAAAGCAGAGAATAGATTAGTTTTATTATCACTATTATTATTTCAAGGGATGATGTGCTCTGCTAAGCTATAAGGGCTACTTCTTAGTTATTGAAAGGGTTAATAGAGGAATGGAGTTGTGATGACTTCTTGAAATAGCTTTTTTTCAGTCATGTTTGATATGTACAGGATTTTTATAACTGTACTATACAATGGTACATATTTGCCAGGGAATACACAGCACCTTTTCTTTAAGAAAGTATTCTCCATTTGCTGAGCATCTTGATCTGGTCCAACATTTTATTGTCCTCACAGGTGATGCTGTACAACTTGAACTTAAAGACACAGACCAGGACTTACTTCAGGCATCGAAAGACGAAATGGCAACGATGGGTGAATGGCAGCTAGTTGGAATCAAATCAGAGAAGGTGGTAGTACCAATCATAGAGGGGTCCACTTACGATGAGCTTCGCTTCTTTGTAAGAAAATGATGCTGTTATTTAATGTTTGAAATTAACGAATCATAAACTAAGTAGGAAACATCAGTAAACTTACAGAAAACACATACATTCTTCATTTAATCCATCAATGAGAAGAATGAGATGCTAAAAAATAGGCAGTTTTGCATTTGCATTAAAATTGCATTTGCAGCATTAAGTAAAATAAATACAGTATTTAAATGCAAAATGCAAAACATGGAAATTTACACAAAATCAACAGATCCCCATATTTTTTAACATACCTATGCATTTATTGCTAATTTTCTTTAAAATGTTCAAAAATATTGGGTTTAACGCCCATCAGCAGGTGGAAGTTTTTCATACTTCTACTCCACTCAATAATTTGACCTTACTTGAGGTCAAATTATAATCCATGATTGACATAACAAAAAGTCACATTTACCGTCCCACATAACCCCAAATATTGCAAAATTCCTAGACTAAAAATGTTACTTTTCACCACAAAGTTGTTTCAACAATTTTACTGATTATGATGTCTTTCTATTGACAGTAAGGTTTTGCATCTGTCTCAGATTTACTGTCTGCTTGCATGCATTATTCTGCTGCAGGTCTCTATTCGGCGCCACTCTACCATGTATGTGGTGAACCTCCTGATCCCCAGCTGTTTCCTCATCACTGTGGATCTCTTCAGCTTCATCCTGCCCATCCAAAACATTGACCGGTCCTTGTTCAAGATGACCCTCGTCCTGGGCTACACTGTCTTCCTGCTCAGCACCAATGAGCTGCTCCCTATCACTGGAAACACCATCCCTCTCATCAGTCAGTTTTTAGAAGCTCTCCTGATTTATTTTACTGCATGTGAAGAATGTGTCTAGTTGTTAACGCAAAATTGAGGCAATTTGAAAGACACAAACATTGCACACATTCAAAAAGACTAGCTAGTGAACTCATGCTTTATAACCCTACATTGTCGAAACAGTGTGAGTGCAGCTTAATAAATAGTTACATCAGATAAACATAAGGCACCATTTCCAGTTTCACATTTCATGCAAAATCATGCCATCAAAATAAAGTGTACATATTTATATTAATAGAAAGCTAAAGGCAGAATGTGTATCTCATAAAGTCACATTTCTGATTTTTGTTTTTTTGTAAAACAACTACAAAGTGCTAAAGCTTTTTCTCATCGCTGCTCCAGATGTGTTCCTGTCTCTCTGTCTGACTATGATGGTCACCAGTCTGATGGAGACCATCTTCATCACCAATCTTCTCCGGGGCTCAGCTCACTACACTGCACCTCCTCGTTGGATGAAGGTGTTTGTTCTTCACTTTTTGGGTCCACTTGTGAGGCTTCCACCAAATCCTGAGCTGCAAGAAGACCTGGTGTTTACGAATCCTAATACAAGAGGTCGGCAACAGACCCAAAATATGGTTTTAATCTCCATTGTGATCTATTTTGCTAATTTTGAATTGATAATAATAATTTGCTTTCTCTGGGACAGAAATGGCAGATATCTCCACAGAGTCCAAAGAGAATGAAACTATGGAGAGAAAGGAAACACTGAAGGAGGCTGAGACCCTCCAGGTTCTGAAGAACCTCAGCAGGGATCTCCAGGCCATCCACCGCCATGTTGTCCAGCAGCTGAAGGGAAGTCCCAGCTCAGAGGACTGGATCCAGATCGGCCTCGTCATCGACCGCCTGCTGTTCATCTTTTACATCTTCTTCATGTCAGTCAGCTTCGTTTCCATCATCATTATCTGGATCGCCTCATATTACTCTGCATAACTGCCGGTTTGTTTTACTGCAGTTTTATTTCAAATTTAATATGTTCTGTTAAATCACAGATGTTATGTACTTTAGAATATAATTAGTTCAAGTTAAAGTCAAATCAATTAATCATTGACTTTTACAACCCAACTTCAAAAATATGAATATTCTTGTTATCAAATGTTTTGTCATGATACATTTTCAAGGCATGCAACAGATTAGATTGTGTGAAACTATACTGAATTATATACATTCAAAAACATTCAATTCAAGTTGTAGTTTACTTATCACTTTCAGTTTATAATGTTACCTGGACATTTGTTGATCCTCTTGAACATAACCGTGAAGGATGGCATGTAGTTATCAAATTGTAACATTAGTAACATTCAGTATGAATCTCAGGATGAAATGAATCAATGTGTAATAAAGTATACCCAAGAGAAAAGACTCATGCTAACATGAATTAAAAATAAATATAAAACATATGACACAGGTAAATAGTCATAGGAAACTCCTGTGTCAAGTTTCCTATGACACAGGAAACTTTTAAATAAAAAGTTTCCTATCAGCTTCAATCCACACTGAGACACTAAAAGAAAATGATCAGCACATCTGAGAATCCACAAAGAAACCCGAGGCTACAGCATCTTCAACAAGCTGGACCTGCAAAAATGAAGTTGCCATATTTGCTTAGACTGGATCACAAAGGGAGCAGGTGTGGAGAAAATAAAAGTGACAACTGAACCACCACAGGATAGAGATCTTCTAGTTAACAGTAAAATCTACATATTTATCCAGAAACCTCTGTCTCTCAGGTAGAAACAACGTTAATACTGTTCTGTGCCTTTAATCAGAAGTTAACACTCCAGTCAAGAGATCATGACTGGATCTCTTGACAAGGATCATGATGCTTCCAGTGTCATTTTAATGGACAGCTGGATTTATGGTTCAGTTTATCACAACAAATCTTCTAGGTCCTAAAACAGCAAAACAGCCCCACATCATCACACAACCACCACCATACTTTACTCTTGGTGTGATCTTTTTATAAACTGTGGTGTTACTTGGTGTTAATGGGACATACACACACACACCTTCCAAAATGTTCTGCTTTTGTCTTTGTACTGTTTAAATTAATTCACAGAAAGTCCTTCTGGAAAAAATAGATGACACCAGGATATTTTTACTTCTTTCTAATGGTAGAGGAATGACCTCTGACCTTAACTGAGGCAAGGGAGGCCTGCAGTTCTTTGGATGTCATGTTGACCTCCTGAATGACTGACCAATGTTCCTGTTTCTGCCGTTTGTGGCTAATAACGAACTTTGGTTTTCTGGAGTCCCAAAGTTTTAGAAATGACTTTGTAACACTTTCCAAACTAATAGACTTCAATTTCTTTCTTTCTCATATGTTTCTAAATTTGTTTTTGCTCTTCTTCACTTTTTCATCCAACTCCTATTTAAGTGATATCTTGCTTTAGAACAGGTGTGGTAGTAATCCGGTCTAGAGACATTGAACTCAGGTGTGATAAACCACAGTAATGTTTTAACAAGGGGAGACATTTTTGTTCACAAGCAGTCATGTGGCTTTGGGTTAATAAACAACCCAATAAACACAAAACTGTATTTTGTGTTTATTTGAGGGAACCTACATCCTTGAGACCTAATTCAAGTTTATACATTTGCTGATCATGACGACAGTCTGTGTAAAAGAAATTGTGAATGATTAGTTTTTTAAGTCAACTATAAATCCCAGATGAGCCCATAATTAATCAGTGCAGAACTGGAGCAGGATGTGATTCCCTGCAGATGGAGGTGCTGAAAAATAAAATGGATGAATGCTCATTGTATGTGTGAAATAACAACTTGTTTCTGCCCTTATTTTATCTTTGGTCCATAATGTATTATTATTATTATTATTATTATTATTATTATTATTATTATCAATAATAATAATAATAATAATAATAATAATAATAATTAGGGTTAGGGTTAGGGTTAGGGTAGGGTTAGGGGTTAGGGTTAGGGTTGATGTTATTAACTTTGATGTTTAATAACATCAAAGTTATTAAAATACAATTTTGTAATAAATTACATGTTATTATTATTATTATTATTATTATTATCAATAATAATAATAATAATAATAATAATAATAATATTATTATTATTTACTCCTAAGAATCAAATGCATTAAAACTCTCAGTATAAAATCAACTTTTTGATATAATTAATAAAAAATAAAATAGAAACTGCAAGCACAGATTATGTGTATGATGCATAAAATAAAATCTATAAGAAATTTTAGATCCAACTATATATATATATATATTTTTTTTTTTTTTTACAAAACTTATAAATTAATTTTAGGTGAGTAGTTTGGTGAAGCTTTGATGAAATATTTGGCCAGTAGATATGGTGAGATTGTGATGCGGTCTCACAGGATTTCCTTTCCACGGTGATGTTCCAGTAAGTAACAAAAACAGGAGTCTCAGTGTGTCTGCACTCAATATTAGCAGGAGTTTTTTAGTGCGTGTTATTAAACGTGTGTTTGCAGCATGATTCTGTTTCAGCAGAGGCTCAGCTTCACTTCAGGGTTGCTCTTACTGGCAGGTAATTAAAACATTTTTCACTCCTTATTTTGTTGTCAAAAATTACATATTTTCTATTGAATTGATTTTCAAACATCTCATCTTGTTTGAGTTGAATAGTTTCTGTACTGTTGGTTTAATATATGGGCTCAATTTTCAAATCAGGACATTTTATGATGATTCATAAAACGCCAAAGTTATTAAAATACATTTTTGTGAATTTCCACTATCGATCAACCTCCTTAATTTAGTTTTAAGTTGAACTGTGTGTGTTTATAGCTTGATTGTTTTCTATAATTTAGCCTTCATTTACTGCTTTTTGTTCGTACTAACAGTAGAATGTAAAGTTTTTAATAGTGAGATCATAGACAGGTTATAGACAGTTTTACTTATTTCTCCACAGTTACAACAAGCCCTGGTAAACTGGTGTGTAAAGAAGGCCAAAGTGGTCCGACTCAGGATTCCATGCAGGCCGTGTTTGACATGCAGCCCTTCAGGCCAGCTGTAAACCTCAGTAACCCCACCATTGCCAACATCTCCTTCACCCTGTACGCCGTCCTTGGAGTGGTGAGTAAATACATGCAAACTGAGAGGAAATGAAACCAATAATCTCACAGGACTTACCACAGCTATTCATTGTTATTTTCTGCTTTTCAGAATGAAAAGGCTCAGTTACTCACTACATTTTTGTGGCTCAGACTGGTGGGTTTCATAGACGCATAGCTAATTCATTTTACACTGGTTCAGAAGTTCGCTGACATTTATTTCTGTTTGCTGGCTGCAGTTCTGGCACAACGAGTATTTGGTTTGGGAGCCTGAGAAGTGTGACGGCGTCGGCAGGATTTCTCTCCCTGTAAAAGAGCTGTGGTCTCCAGACATCATTGTTTATGAGTTGTAAGTTACCTGTTTTTTTTATTATTATTTATTTTTCAGCATGCATGGACCTTCAATATTCATTTAGATAGTAACTGGATGTCATAACGTTTACTGTTTCAGTGCATTAGAGTGTTTCACATATTTGACAGTGCAGCTTTTACTTAAGCAGCCTGTTTGCATGACACCAGCTTACAACAGATGTCTCATCAAGGTTCTTCAGAAACAGGTCCAGGTCGTATCAGGTTTTATTTGGTCCAAATTCGGTTCAGATCATTTTAATTCTTATCCTACTTCATTTAATGGGATCAGATAATTTACTTTTAATCAACTTCAGTGTATTCAAAGTGAGTTGGTAAAAGTTGGACCAATCACTCATCCTGAAAAAGTAAGAGGTGACAGTGGAGAGGAAAGACCCAATTTCAGCAGCAGAAACCAGCCTCATCTGTCACCACCAACTGGGGCAGAATGTTTAATACTCAAAATCAATCAAACATGGATTTTATTTTCTCATTACTGAAATTCTACCCTAACAATTTAGTTTCCTGCAGAAAAGATTAGAAAATAATAAGCTGGAGGAAGTCCCCAAAGAGTGGGATGTCTGGTGTTCCCTCCTGGATCTGCTGCACAGATCAAACTCAGAGAGTTTCTCCTAAAACACAGCAGAAACATCTTGAATGTTTGCACCTCTCATCTAGTGCTTTATAAGTAATGAGATGTGCAAACTCTGGAGCATCAAAGAAGTTCATCATAAAGAGATCCAGATCATAAAGATAAAAAACACACAGGCATACAAACGAGGACCATGCAGTAAACAGACGTTTTGTTTTCTGTGAAAATACATCTCCTAATTTACTTCATTGTCTCCTGCTGTTTCCTCCTCCACTGCCTTCCAAGTGTGGATGATGATGTTTCCCAGGCGTGTCCTTATGTCTACGTGAACCACACAGGACACATTCGCTGGGACAGGATGCTGCGGCTTGTCTCAGCCTGCAACCTGGAGATCTTCAGCTTTCCTTTTGATGTGCAGAACTGCACATTCACATTTGGCTCCTACATGCATACAAGTAGGAAATCTTTCTTGGTGTTTTAACAAGAAAAAAAGAAACAGGGAGTAAATATCAACATTCTTCTTATTGCTGCACATTGCCTGGTAATTCTTTTTCTCAGTACGTGATGTGAGAGTCAGTCCAGCTCTGCCGTTCAGCGAGATGTCAGAAAACTCAAAGCAATACCTGGAAGCCAGTGGAGAGTGGGAGCTGGTGGACATCCTGGGGGAGACGTCCATCCTGAAGTTTGGAATTGACGAGTGGGACATCATCACCTTTTGGGTTTGAGAAATTCATTTTTGCTGATTTTAGATTTAAATTTATACATGCTGTTGCTGGGGAACTGTGGTTTGTTGTCTGCAAGATTGGATTGAAAGTAAAGTGACTTAGAAAATCTGGCATGTCGACAGTATACAAATAAAAATTGTTGCCTAGGAGCAGCATCACTTATGACTTTTGCTCCTTGAGAGAATCAATTCAGTATCCAGCAATAGATTATCTTTAGACAGATTATCATTCTTTTACACTCAGAATAATATAAAGGTAGTTCTTTTTTTTAAATAGTGTACAGTTTTATTTTTTTTATAAATTTTGTATCATAAAAATTTATACAGTTTTTATGATAAGTCATTTGTGCTTCCATACAATCAAAATGGTGGCAGAGTATCAAGGTGTAGGAAATGTGACGTCGTAGCTAAAAGCTCATGAACTTCCTTTAGGATTCAGCATAAATCAAAACCACAGGTGTGTAAATGTGCATAAATTCAAATTAGCTCATTTTCGGCTGACTGTTTTTTCTCTTGTCCATTAGGTGGTCATAAGGCGGCGCCCGGTGCTCTACGTGGTCAACCTGCTGATCCCGAGCTCCTTCCTCATGCTCATTGACATTCTGTCCTTCTACCTGCCCCCCCACAGTGTGGACCGGGCCTCTTTCAAAATGACCCTGATCCTGGGTTACACCGTTTTCCTGCTCATTATGAACGACCTGCTGCCCAGCACAGCTAATGGAACGCCCCTTATAGGTCAGAGGTTGTGTTATAAAATAAGGTCTGTGTAAAAAGAGTTTGTTACCAAACTGCTATAAGATTTTGTATCACGGTTAAAATTGGAGAACGTAACTTGTGTAAAAAAAAAAAAAAGGTTTTTATATATTTGTCAAATTTGACGGCAGCCTTAACGTGTTACATGTTCATCTTCATCAGGTATCTATTTCTCCGTGTGTCTGGCTCTCATGGTCATCAGTCTCCTGGAGACAGTCATCATCACCAACGTCCTCCATCACAGCTCCATGAAGTATCAGGAGGTTCCAAACTGGGTTAGAGTCGTTGTCCTCAAATACATCGCAACCATGATCTGCTACCGGTGGCCCGCAGGTGTTTCTCCCACTCTTAAAACACGGGAAGATAAACCTGAGAGTTCAAACGGCAGCACAGACGCCTGGGTCATCCAGCCAGTCAGCCAAGCAGTCGACAGGCACCGAACCTACAATGGAGGTAAGCAGGGAGTTAGAATGTACATCTGATTTCTCTTTTTTTACCTTTTATTAAATCATTATGTTTTTCAGAGATAAATTGGAAATATCAGGAAATGTGTATTTTATTTTGTAAGAGTGCTCTAATCTTTTTACATTTGCAATGTGCAAAACTGTTCATTTTGAGGGTGAAAATAGCCCGGCTCTGGATTCCGTCTCCTCTGTTGTAGACACTGGTTCTCTGCCTGAGCTGCAGCTGATCTGTCAGTACCTGGGGGACCTCCGTGCACATCTTCTGTCGGTGCAGAAGGAGAGCGAGCTGCTGGGCCAGTGGTGTCACGTAGGATACGTCCTCGACTTCCTGCTCTTCCGCATCTACCTGCTTCTGATCAGCTGCTACGCCATGGTCATTATCACAATGTGGTGCATCTGGATCAGTCAGACCTAACTGGACACGGATTAAATGTGTCAAATAATCACAACCTGATGTAAGGTGTACTTAAGCAGACAAATATACCCACACTTACATTTTAAGATGGTTTCCTGAGACAATGATGGAGTTTGTGTTTGTTGTTGAATCTGTATGTATTTTGTGTTTTAAAGTTATAATATGTCTTGCAGTCATAAAACAATCTACATTTTGATTAACAGAAAATTGTGACTGAAGTCAATTTCACGTTTGTTCTAAAGTTTATTTTGTCAAAGTCCTTGTCTGTTATCTTTTTTTCTATTTACTCTTATGTATCATTTATATTTTAGCAAACACATTTATATGTATGTCAGCATGCCATGTAGAGACATGCCATAGAAAAATGATATCATTTATTTATCCATTTTTGCTGTTAATCAATATCATTTAAATAAAATATAACAATAAAATAAAATGAAGTCAGAAATTCAATTATGCACATTTTTTTGGATGTGTGCATTGTAATTTTTACCTGAATGATTGCACAGTTGTATATTTATTATTGTATTGTTTTTTTTAAATTGTTCATTATTTTTAATGTAAGACGTTTGCAGTTTGAATTAGTTTGTTGTTAAGCGTATCCGGAAAGGATTTAAGAACTGGTTGTAAATCCAAACATTACCTTTATGCAAACAGCCATAAGAGCTCTTATTACAACTACCGAGGCAGTAAAGGCCTTAAGTCATGTCCCAAATTGAAGAGTCAATATTAGCTGCTGGAGGAGTTTAATGGTTACGGATGAAATCATGTGACAAGAGCAGAGACATCTCTGGTCGATGAACTAATCTACAGAACATAATCTAGAGAGCCTGGTGTGAACATTATGAAGATTTCAAATATCAAACCTTTTGCACTAATCCTCGTCTTTTTCACTCTGTTTCATGGTAAGACAATCTTTTGGCAAGTACATTTAGCCTTGTTTTTATATTTCTACATTAAGTCTTGTCTCAAGAAGTACATGGAAATAACGTAGGAAGTGTTTTATGTTTTAATTTTCTGTCTCTTTTTCTAAGGTTGCGAAGCAGCTTTAAACTGCACCAGTCCGACCCCCGAGTCCCTGTTTAAGGAGCTTGACAAACAGTTATTCAGTAAGAACCTCATCCTGCCTGTTTCAAGCTTCTCAGAGACGCTCAACGTCTCAATCAACATCACTGTGGTTGGGATTTTAGGAGTGGTGAGTCGAAACTATTCATTCATCAAAAAGAACTTCTGCCAACAATGTAAACGGGTCAGCATGTGGTGACAGTGGATGGTAACGTACGTCGAGTTGCTAATTCATATGGTGACATAGAAAAACAGACCAACTTCCTTTAAGAGAGAAAATGTCCAGCAGAACCGAGCTGTACATGCATCGGGTTTTGAAAAGACAGAGCAGACCCACAGAAGAACCACTGGCCTACAAAGAACAAATGTTCTTTAAGATACTTATTTATCTATGGATATGTATTTTTGAGTTTGTGGTTAAATTAGTTTTCTGTATGTATTCAATAGTACTGAACAGTGGTCATATTTATAATCATCTTGCAGTAATTTAAAAAAATATATCTCATTTCTAGGATGAAAAAGTCCAAACACTGACAACTTTTTTATGGCAAGTTCTGGTAAGAGAATAATGAACAAATTGATACAATGTTCAAGATGACAAAGATAACTTCTGCGGAATGTTAACATTTTCTAAATAAATATGTTTTTTGTTAAATATACAATGTGAAATTTGACCTAATTTTCAGTTGCAATGATAACAAACTTCTTTTCAGTGTGATGAATTGACTGAGCAGAGTTTTGTTTGTAATGACACAGGAGTGGAAAATAGCAGGACTCAGCTGGGATGAGCAGGAATGTGGAACTAAAAGAGTCTCTGTACTTCGGGAAAAGCTTTGGGTTCCAGATGTTCACATCTCAGAGTTGTAGGTCTAATCCATGTTCATTCTTTGGTGGGGCTTCTATTAGAAATATTAAATAATATTATTTAACAACTTGATTTCACAGTAACTTAGTGTTATAAGGGAAGTTTTAATCAAAAATGTTTTTCGAACAGCAAGGAACAAAATTGAATTTATTTTTGTCTTGCTTTTCTTTTTTATTTCAGTATGGATGAGAACAGATCTCCTCAAACTCCCTACGTTTACTTACACAGCTCAGGCCATGTTAGTGATGATAAACCCGTTAGAGTGGTCAGCTCCTGCAAGCTGGAAATCTACAACTTTCCATTTGATATCCAACATTGCTCGCTGACGTTTGGGTCATATATACACTTTGGTGAGACAACTATACAACATTTCCATTACAAAAGGATAATATCTGAACTCTGCAGTGCTTCCTTGTTATATTTAGATTTTAAAGTATTTATTTATGAAATATTATACATTTAAGTTGTAAGTGTACAGTAGCAAAGTGTTTCACTTTCAATGGTTACTGACTGACTACTGAGCTCTGAAAATGAATGTTTGTCAAGCTTCGGACATACGGCTGCTTCCTGGCATAACAGCAGAAGAGATTCTGCGTGAATCCAAAAGAGTGCTGGAGACGAACGGAGAGTGGGAACTCTCCGACATAAAGGTGGTTCCATCCGAACTGGAGCTAAGCGTAGGAAACTACTCTATAGTCGAGTTTCAGGTGGGCTTGGTTTTTAATATTATGCATTTCTTTTGTCTGTAAAAATGCAGTTGCAATAGTTTCAGAATCAGCATCCACCTCTCTGTAGCAAGAAACACTTTCTTCAAACAGGCACAAATGTATTACTGAAACAAATTCTGCTTCAATTTTAGCTTTCTACGGAAATGATTTTTCTTTGAGGAAAGAAATTGACAGACTCAGAATTACAGCAAAGCAAAATATAAAATTATCTAGCATAAGATATTATTATGCACATTATGCCTTCCTGTGTATCATCTGCAGCTGACCCTGCGCCGCAGACCAATCCTTTATGTGGTGAACCTGCTGGTCCCCAGCTGCTTCCTCATCACTGTGGACCTCTTCAGCTTCCTGCTGCCTCCTCAGAGTGTGGACAGAGCCTCCTTCAAGATGACCCTCATCCTCGGATACACCGTCTTCCTGCTCATCATGAACGACCTGCTGCCCGCCACAGGAGACAGGACGCCGCTTATCAGTAAGAGACACCTTCGATTTGGTACATCTTCAATTTTGCATACAACACAGCTAAATTGTTACTCTAAAAGGTGCGCATCAGTTACAGCTGCAAATACTTTCAATGATATTTGACAGAAATAGAGACTAAAGTATATTCAAAAGCTACACAACAGCATAAGAAAACTCCAGTGAAAAAAAAGGACTAAAGAGGTGCGATTAACAATCATAAACAGAGGCACAAAACAGAAAGTCTTCAATCAGTAGCATGTGATTGTTTCTTTAACCAGATAAAGTTTCTCCTCCAGCCTAAATGTTCAGTCGGTGTGGGCTCAGCCTCACACTTCATCCATATTTCTGCTAAACGGCACATCTCATCAAAAGCAATGCATGCTCAGGCATCATGTTCATTGAATTTAAAAGGCCAGATCTCATGAAGAAGTTCTGGTCGAAACAGAAACGAGTGACTTTGTTTAACTTAGACTACGCTCTCTGTGTGTGACAGACACACCTCTAAAATCAAGTCAACATGCTGTCAGTGAGGAAATGATCAGCAGGTTCATCTGGTTGTTACCTAAACTTTGTTTCCTAAATACAAACGTACAGAAATAAGTGGGACGTATCCTCCAGAAAAAATACATTTAACAAACAATCTCCTCATTGAGGATAAATAAAGTCTGATTTAATAACTTGTATCAGTCTGAGTTGCTCTGATGTTTTCTGCAGACGTGTTCTTCTCCATCAGCCTGGCTCTGATGGTGGCCAGCCTCCTGGAGACGGTCTTCATCACCAACATCCAGTACAGCTCCGGCCAGTACAGTGCTGTGCCTCGCTGGCTGAGCGTACTGGTGCTGCGTTATCTCGCCGTTGTTGTTTGCATGTCTCCAAAGAAGAGCAACAGAGTAACAGTCTGCCTCAACCCGTCTTACAAAGGTAAAGCATCTTGTGAAAAAAATAAGAAACGCAGCAAATGCCATATTGGTTGGCTAAGTGAAGTTTAGGATTTTAAATAATAGACGAAATGCAAGTTTCATATCTGCAACAAAAAGCATTTCAAGTTTTAAATATATATTTTTATTTTCCCTTTACTAATGACTTTTGTGCACACAGAAATATCTCCATACTGTATGTAAAACACCAGGCAAAGGCTGTAGAAAAGAAAAAGAACAGAGACCTTCTGCATAGAAAAGAAACTCAGAATTATTTTTGAAATGAACCACCGGATAAAGTTTCAACACTTTTGTTGGTGTTGGGGAAAAAAAGTGCATAAAAAGTGCAAAAAAAGTGCTGGTGTTGCACTATTTATGCAACACCGGTGTTGCATAAATAGTGCAACACCAGCACTTTATAAGTCTCAAATGTATTTAGATGTTTCAGTACAGAAAGCAAATTAAAAAAATGTACAACCAAAAGCAAACTTCTTTCATCACAATAAATATGTATTACAGAAATCAAAGATGAATTTAGAAAATGCTTTAAACCAAATAATACATAAAAGTTATTTTCTTCCTGAAAAATGTTAAAAATAAACTTTTCTTTGCCTGTAGAGAAATTTTATGACCATGAGAAAATCCTCTTGTTTCTTCAGATTCAACAGCAAAGACAAACTCCATCACCATCTCAGGAAACCAGAGCATCTTAAAGGAACCGCATCCAGTGAGGGCCCCCGCCCCTCCTGCTGCTACTCCAGAGCCGGCTCTGGAGGAGCTGAAGAAACTAACCAGAGATCTCACAGCCATCCGTCTGCAGGTGGACAAACACTTCCAGGGCTCCAAAACCGCAGAAGAATGGCAAATGATTGGAATAGTAATAGACCGCCTGCTGTTTTACTTGTATATAGTCTTCATTATTGCAAGCTTCATCACCATTACGGGTATCTGGATCTGGAATAATACATATGCCGCATAAGTTACATCTGAAGGGATGAAAACACCAAGAGTTTAATGGTGTTATTTCTATTAAGTGTGCTTAAGTCTGAGTAGTAGAAATAATCAGCATATTTCACAATAGCTGTAGAAAACATATTTTTTGCCCTAAAAACTGGCTAACAACATATTTATGGCTTAAAACAATACATTAATGTATTTGGACAAGAAAATTGCCAAACATAAAACCATCTGCAAAACATTGACTGTTGTTCCATGCAGACATGTTGTCATAAATCTGTGAATTTAGAGGTGAAAATGCTCTCATAAGATAAAGTGAATGCATAGCAGTGGGGAAGAAAGCACAGATTTGTAACACAGTCGTATTCAACTCCGGTCCTCTACCTCGGCTTCAGTTCAGGTTTTGTTGTGATGGTTCAGGTCTCACCTTCCTGACTGCATTCAGCATAGCAGTCAGTAACAGTCTATACCAGTGAAAATGTTTGTTTATGGCTGCTTGTTTTGACCTCGTTGTTGTCTAAGTCATTGGCCAGCATTTCACAGTAGCTCGCAATCGCTGCTACAACATAAATTTTATCTAGAAAAACCAAAAACAACTTTGAAAACAGAGAAAATTAAGTTAAAATGTATGAGTAATTTAACTATTTCAAAGAAGAAAATAGACTGTAAGAGTGAAATATGGAGAATGAAGATTTATAGCCCATTTAAAAATGTAATGGAAATAGTTTGAAGCTAAATCATAAGTATTTAGCATACAAAAAGTACAAATCAGACCTGCTCCAACATGCTGCCACAATATTGATGCAGTTCATGCTATGAAAATTAACTAAAAAGCAAAACACAGACAAGAACCTCCTGGTTTAAAGAGCCATATCTGACATATCTGATATCTGGTTTCATTCTGAAGGACAGCAGAGACATCTAATGGCCATCCTCTGACCTCTGACCTTTACCAAGCTTGTTTATGGCTGCAAATGTGCTATACAAACCTGCAACATGAGCACATTTTGTGTAATTCACATGACTTCTGTCACCACACAAGCGACTGCTCCGACATAAAACTGGATTTTTTTTTTAAATGGTCATGTTGAGTTAGGCGTTTGTAAAAATTTATGTTAAAACTTATGAACTCATGTTTGTAATAAATAAAAGCATATTTCAGTCACACTGCCACCACTAGATGGCACCACTGTCTACAAAATGTGCTGATTATTGTTAATCATGATAAATAAAATGTAAAGGATGACTCTCCATCACACTGATGAAGCAGCTCTGGGTTAAATGGCTCTTAAAAAACAGGTATGTTGCCATGATAATCTGGGAAGTCATAAGAATAAAATTCCAGTGAATTTTAATGTTAAAATGATTATTAAAGTACTTCAGTCAGAAAAAGCTGTCCGACATATTAAAGCCACTTATTCTCTAACGTTTAACCCAGTGTTGCATTTTTGTACTTTACATGTTTTATATGCAGAAAAAAAAATAAATCTAAGATATCAGTTAAAGCTCTAAAATCTGGAGGAGCTTAAATGTAATTTAAAAAAAGCATTAGCTAAACATAACCTGCAAACATTTTAAACTTCAAAGAACACAGAGTGACACCAGCGTTTTAACAGTCTTGTCAGTCATTTATTGTGAACATCATTACATACTCAAAGGAAGTCAAGAACAATCAACATTTTTAATAAAAGTTTTTAACTATGTAGTGCACTTTAAACCTCTTCACTCCTCCACAACAAAGGCAGGTCCAAAACAAAGCTGATCAGAGGTGCTGGGCGGATACTTTGTTCAAAAGCTTTAAACTGAAAGGTTTCTTTAGTGAAAAGAAGACAAATCAAGTGTATAAATAAAGAATGGATTGATTTTGAAGAGATTAGTCGTTAGTAGTAGGATTAATTAGATGTACTAATTATCCGGTTAAGACTATTTTTGATTATGTAATTTGTAAGAAAAAGAACCGTTTGTTAGCTTTTTGAAACCTCAAGAATAAATATAACATAAATGTCTGCTAATTCATACTGGTCCACAAATGAAAAATATGAAAATCTAACCGTTAACATAAGTGCAAAAAACATTTCTAAAAAGTCTAAAATGCAATTTTTCAGCTAATCTCATTTCTGTCAACACGTGGAGTTACTTGGAAAAAAAAAAAAAAAAAAACACATGAATATGATCATTTTAAACCTCTAATGCAGTAAGCCAATTTGCTAAAACTTGAGTAAAAACAGTTTGACTTAAGAAAGTGATGAATAAGTTGTTAGAACATTAGATCAAAACCGCTTCAGGCATCATTAGTCAGAAACATTTCAAGCTCAAAGTTCATGTTCTTAGAAGGAACATTAGCAGAATTACATCCAAACTCCACCAGAACACACTGGAGCAGGGCAAAGAACCAAACACGCGGCAATCTCAAAAGCTGCAACAATAGAAATCAGCAAGGGCAGCAGGTAGATATGCACACCAGCACTCACACACACACACACACACACCCACACACACACACACACGCGCACACACACGCACACACACACACACACTCCGAGCAGCAGGACAACTATCATTTCCAGGTTTACCGATAACGTTTGCAACAATGACTCCTGTTCCTCAGCTCTGCTGAGACACTCCACCATTGTTTCCATTACATGCTCATTGGTCACAATAGAAGTGTCTAAAACAGCATAAAACACAAAACATAAGGCTCAAAAAATGGAAAAGTACATGGTAAATATTCTCTTAATATTTTATTCAAAATATTTGAATATTTTTTCAATATTCAAATATTTAACAACAGTTTAAATGAAAAAGACCTGTTAAGACCTAAACTGTTATTTGTCAAATCTTAAGATATGCATTTTTAAGCTTCCAGTGTTATTCTCACAAATAAATGTATCCTACCATGTTAGGCGTCAACAAAACAATGTCAAATTAATAAAATAAGCATCTTAGCAGTATGTGTAAAGAGGGAGAAGCCTCAGGCTAAATTAAATACTCTTGTTTTGTTGACAGATTGGTTACATTTCACAATAAATTTCACAACACACAAGTGCTGAAAGTTAAAGGTGGTCTTTGGCTTGTGCTGCACATAAAACTGAAAAATTATTAGCGTCAAGTAACTGCAAGGCCGCAGGTTTGATCTCTCATGCAGAGCTGGTCTATTTGTACTAGAATGATTCAGCACTGTTGAGGAAAGCTGGTAAGTAGAAGAGTATATATAATGAACTTAAAATCATTTTTAATCAAAACAATTAAACTCCGATTTTTTTTAGGAGTAAAGGCTGAATTGTTAGCTTGGTAGGTTTAAGAAATTAAATCTTCAATGTGTCAATTTTAAAGAATGCCTTAGTTTTTTTTCCCACATTGTGGAGAAAATTGAATGGCATTTGCTGAATAATCAATATACTTTTCAAGCATTAATAAAAAATAAAGTGCGTGTCTTGAAGGGGCTTGTAGAAAACATTCATCTCACAACTCCACTTCCATACGTGGCGATCTGGTCAAAAACAGCTTTCCCTGCTGATCCGAGAGGAATGAGCTAAAGATGGGGAGAAGGTCAGAGACTACAATCATCGTCGATTTGTCCTCCACTTCTTCTTCTTCTTTCCTGAGGTCACCTGAGGTGTTGCCAGCGCTAAGTCCCCCCTCCTTCGTCCTCTTGCTCCTCCATGTTTCTGCACGCCATCCTCTCCCGGCGCTCCGCCAGCCGCCTACACCGGGGGCAGTCTTTACCTGTCCTGAAGCAGCTCTGATGGTAACAGGCGTGGCACTCTGAAAGGGGAGGAGGAACACAGGAACATTAGCAGGCAAAAAGACGATCACATGTCGGACTGCCAGCAAAAGTCAGCCGCAAACAGGTTCCACTGGTTTGCACAGGTAGAGGTAAGTTGCACAAAAAAAAAAAGTAGCCAATCAGAAGCAGAGCTGAAGGAGGATGTGAGTATAAAAGGCACAGAGGTGAAAGGCAGCGAGGCAGATGGGAAGCAGTTCATGTCAGAAGAGCCGCAACATTAAACCTGCATAGACTCGCCCTGATACTCATTAGCAGTGAAAGCAGTTTCAACCTTTCATTAGCCCTCATACGAGATCATCTGAAAATCATGTCTAAGGTGATGGATTCATGAGATGAAACTCAAAGTGAATTTAAAACATGTTTATTTCATGTTGAAATGAAGATAAAAAATAAATAAAAAGCCACAACTGTACAAGGCATAAATAATCTCTTCAACATCACAGATGAACTCTAACAGCAAATAAAGGAAATCAAACGGAGAACAACGCAAGCGATCAAACTAAAATCCTCCACTTGCTCAGGCAGAAAAACGTATGTAGAAACCAACTCTGACAGGCGTCCATTTTGAAACTCAGAACCAAAAGGAGTTTAAAACTATAAGCATGATGGAGAGGACGCACACCTTCTGTGACGTCGTTTAGCAGCATTATTTTCTAATGAAGGCGACCATTCAAAGTTAAAGAAAAGAAATTATGACAGCTATACCTTCTGGAACCAAAACTAAAATGTCCACCACCATCTGGCAAAATAGCTACCCACCACCAGCTGTGCAACCAGAAGAGCCAAAACCAACACCAGCCCAGTGACTCAAAACATTAAATGAAGAAAAGGTAAAGATTCCCAAACCACCAGAAGATGCGAAACAGCAGTGAGATGGCTAAGATGGTTGAGAATATTTCCGAAAGACAATGATGCTCAAGCGACACCTCCAACCACTGTCCCATAACACACCAAATTACAGTTTCAACAAATGACAATACATTAAAAAGCTACTAATAAAGAGGCGAGGGATGTCCCGATTCAATCAGTTTTCGACTATCAGTCAATTTAACAAGTCTAGTCTAACATACTGCAATGTACATATTAAGTGGATCTAAACATGAGGAAATTATAGGGATTTTGTTGAAAATTAAGCTGTCAAGTCTACAAAAACAGGACAGAAACTCCTGATACAATCTCATACTGCATAGTGCATGTGTATTGGGATCAAAGGTGTGCAAGTAACACAACAAAACAGTGCCATGAAGACACATTAAGAATCAACTGACCATCTGTGGAAAAAACAAAAACCTAATCTTTGAGCCACTGGTTTCAAGAAGCTGGCATGTTGACGCGAGTGAAACATGATCTGTGCAGACAGAACACTATAGTACAGGATTAAGTAATGCTGTTGTTCGTCATATGGTGTGATATGAGTCACAGCTGCATCACTGCACATGTGTAACAGTGGTACACATGTGCACAGATGCAGTCGTAGCCTGTTTGGCACCCTGGGCGAACCACCCAGGGTACCAAACAGTTTCTGTTACAATATCCTGCCACCAACACTACGATCTACCCGCAGGTCTCGTCTACACAGAGTTAATTTCCGTATCAAAACAGAGAGAAAATATGATGGCTGTTAGTGAAGCATTAGTTAATTGGCTCAACCTGTTATGGATTAGATATTCTGTCGCTGTCAAGAAAAACATAGTAGAGTATCATCCAGAAGATTACTGGTGAGTGAGTTAAATGATACACATTCACAGTAATACAGACAATGTGACACTGTAATAGTGTGGCATTTACTGCACTGCTGTAATGCTGCTGAGTCATAACAGACTTGGAATTGACTTTAATAAAACAGCAAACTGGTGCTCTGTTTCAGCTTTATCAACTCAGATTCACATTTAAAAAAAAGAAAGATCTTAATCGGGACATCCCTAGTTTAAACCCATTTTCTACAAATAAATATAAAGCAGAATATGACTTTGAATTGTACAGATTTTGAGAAGAATATTGCTCTAAATTGACCATCAAAAAAATTAAATAAATAAACAGTAAAACGAGAGAAAATGTAGTCATAAATGGAAAAAAATCTTAGATAAAAATATAACCAGTCTTAAAACTGTTTTGCATGCGGCTCATTCTTTTACCTGGCAGTTACAACAAAGTAGTCCTCTCTAATTTCAAGAAACAGGCTTTATTAATATTTCCGGATAAAGAAATATTCCTCAGCATCTACTCTTGAGCGCCAAGTCCTTCATCTCCATCCTCAGTCTCTCTGCTCTCCTCTGTCGACGCTCCGTCCTCCCCTCCACTCACCCTGTTCTTCCTGCCTTTAGTTAACCTCCTGGCTTTGCGGGTTTTTTGATTTCTCCATTTTGTCTCGGCTGGATCTGCTGTACCCTGTCGCTCTTCCTTTACCACCTCTGTGTTTACTACCTCTGTGTTTACTACCACGTCACTTTCCCCGCTCTCTCCTTCCTTCTCCTTCTTGTTTTTGTGTTTGGAAAAAACACTTGCTAGCTGATGTGGTTTCAGTAGTTTGAAGACAGAAAATTTGTCACTTTTCACTGAATCTGTGTCTTTCTGAGCTTTCTCTTCCTCCTCTTTTTTTACCAGTGATCTTTTTATACACTCTTCATTTTCTTCTTCCTCTTTCGATTCCATTTCTTCTTCATTCTCATCGTTTCTTTTTGAGGAACTCTTTGCTCGATTACTCTTGCGCCCTTTCCCCTCCTGTCCTGCTTCATTCAAACTCTCAAGACTGCTGCACTTTTCACTATCACTTTTGTCTTGTTTTAATCTCTTTATTCCTAGAGCCTTCAACAAACTCACTTTTTCTCTTCTTGCATGTTCATCTTCACTTTCCTTGTTCTCAAGCTCTTCCTTCCTCTCCTTTTCAGCCCTCCCTATCTCCTCCTGTTCTTTCTCACTTCCTATAATCCAGGGAAATGTGTTAACCATCTTCCCAGAACTAAAATGCCGAAGCGTTTCCTCTCTCACAGTTGAATCCCTGGAATCCTCCTCCTGCTTATTTCCTCCATCCTGCTGCTCTCTGCTGTTCACCTCCTGATCGACCCCCAGCTCCTCTCCGCCCTCCCCTTCTTTCCTGCCTCTGGAAAGCGCTCTCGCCAGTCTACGAGGGGTCGGGATCTTCCAGTCTCTCCAATTTAGTTGAAAGGAAATGCTGGAAGACTGGGGTCTTGAGGGCTCACCTTCGCAGCGTTGGCACTTGCTGAGCTGGAAGGGGAAGATAATGTCTTTGTCGTTGTTGCAGAACTCGCAGACGAAGCCCTTCGCCTGACACAACTGAGGGACAAAGCAAAAATGATTAAAAACAACTGGGTATCAAACGATTAATTGGGTTAATCACGATGAAGCGATCGCTGAAGTAATCGTCAACTAATTTAGTCATCGATTAATCGTTAAGCTGAAGTATGCAGGCTTATAAGAAGTCCTTTATGTTAAAAGAACACACTCAGAGCAGTAATTAAACTAAAACTGTACAAAAAATATTAATATTTTGCCAAAAACGCTACTTCTGTAAATGTGTTCAACCCAAAACTATTAGAGTAGCATAGTTTTACCGTCACCTGATTGAAACTCTGTAAAAAAAAATCCAACTATTAATCAGTTAATTCAAATAATATTCAATCCTACACTGTACTGATGTGAAGGCAAGCAGAAAGGGCTGAACTTTTAAGACACATCATTTATTACAAATGATAAGAGTGTACTCTCAAACTATGCTGTGTTATCGCATTTTTTTCCATTTGAAAGATGGAAATGAAAACATAAATTCCCCCTTTAAAGTATTTATTATACTGTCTCAAAAATGCTTATTTTTCAATTCAATAGAATTGAAAAATCTGCAGAATGTGCCGATTCATATTTTTATCCAGTTAATCATCAGAATAAGTGATAACTATAATAATCAATAATTGCAGCACTACTATGAAGTCAACCAGTTGAAATAGCAGCCGCCTTACCACGCAACCAGCTACATGCATGGTCCCAAGCTTAAGCAGCTCTTTCAACCGGGGAGCCAGTTCTCCATTGCGAACAGCAGTGAGATCGTTGAGCGAGAAAAGATGGAGGTCCTCGGTCAGGTGACCTGGCACGCTGTCGAACTGGTCCAGAACCCTGAGAGGAAGACCCAGAAGCAAACGGGTGATGTTCTCCAGTCCAGAAGTTTTTTTTTTTTTTTTTTTTTTTTTTCCATTCCAAACAAGTTTTGGTTAATGTGAACAGAGAGGCTTACCCTCTGGCAAAGCGACAAGTCTTGAAGAGATTTTTCATGTGAAAAAGTTGCACTCTTAAAACCTGGAGAAAAAAAAAAAAGTTATTCAAGTATTCAATAGAAAAAAAAGACTACATAAATAGAATTAAACTGTTTTAAAGAGCTTCTGGTCCAGAGCACTGCTGAAATCCAACCCTTGTCCACTCAGTAAGAGCTGCAACCTCATGTTATCCACAACACTCTTCAGTGTGGATGCTATTACTGAAGGAAGAAGACTCAAATTTAACCATTTCCACCATCACAAACTTGAAAACAGCTAAAACTGAAATCAGAGGATGAAAAAAAGTTATAAAGAGGCCATGTTAAAAATGGCTTCTTGACTGCTCCTTGACTGCTCCTTTTAAATAAGGGACTTCAGCAAAAAATAAATCATCTGGACATGACCAAAAAAGAGTAAATAAAAAAATTTTAAAAAAAAAAGAAAATCAGCAAAAACTTTGAAATATATCCAAAAAACCTCGAATTACTCATGAAAAAAATGACCATTAAAAAACTTCAGTAAAGTCTGGCTCATGTTTAGATGCGTCTAAACATCATCATGCTTCCTTGATGATGTTGGTGATGATCGGTTCATTTCTCAAAGAAAACCCCAAAAGAGTCAAATGATTGAGTCAGCTGATTAATGAGCTTTAACTTTAACAGCGAAGTCTAAATCCTAATGATGAAAAAATATATATAAACACAGGTACAAAAACAGATTTTCAACACTTAAATATTATCAAGTTATTTACTGAATACGTTTTGAACTTTTTTTTTTTCGGGGGCATTTCTCTTTAATAATTAGGCATAAACTTTTGTGCTGAGAAGTATAGGTTGCCTCACTGCAGAATAAATTTACTTGAAGGTAAAAACACAACATAAACCTTGGACATTGTTGGTGGTTTTAATTTAAAAAACAATTCTTTAGGAAGAATCCGTTTTACATTGAGCTGCGTGAGAAACATTAAAATCCTGTTTCTGGCTATATCTTTACTCACACTGCAGCTCTGTAATGCTGTGTGCCACTGAAGCAGCACTAAAACTTTTGTTAACATCATTTTAACTGCAGCTGATAAATGCTGAATGTCTCTATTCATTCCAACTCGTTACTCAAAATGCAACAGGTCACAAGTTTGTTATTTCACTCTTTAAGGACTTGATGTTCCTCCCTCTGGGATGTTTGTGAGGGGAAGAAATGCCTCCTTTCGCTGGATGCAACCCGTGAATCTTCGTAAACATCATCATGGAATACGTTACCGCCTCTGAACTCACCCTGACAGACTCCAGAGATTTGATCTTCTTGTACAATCCATTGTTGATGTCACTTGGGTTGAACAGAGGATCTGCTGAAATCTTGCTCAACAGATCTCGGGCGAAGTTGCTGACGTAGTACTTGCTGAAGTCCCACTTTCTGAGAACTCTGCCAGGAACAACCGCCTGGGCGTTCTCGTGGCAGCACTGGCAGAAGTAGCGGCCGAGGTACTCGCAGTATCGCAGTCGCTTGATGTAGTCTGAGGCGAGGGCAGCCAGCAGAAACAAACAAACAAAAAATCTCTTTGTCACTTTTTGTGTAAATTTGATCAATTAAGACAAGAAAAAATGAGTGTAATCAGTCTGACTGGCTCAAACAGGTCACAAACTGACAACTGTAACTATAATGCAAAAATAAAGAGTATTTTTAATATCAGAGTACTTATTAACATAATTGAGATGATGAATGAAGCTATTAAAAGTAAACAATTTTTCAAAAAAATCTGAAGAACAAAAGAAAAACATAGAAACAGACTATAAATGAAGTATCAGTCAGTCTATTAAGCAGGACTTAGCAGAAGTTATTTGATGTCTTACTGTGTTGGAAATGTCAGAAAGGTAAAACCCAATTTAAAACCATCTTGCACTATATTTCCAGTTGTGCATTAGTATTACTGTGACTGCAGGTCATACCTGGGTCAATTCTGGTGCCGCATCCGGCACAGCGGTAGTTCTGCTTGGCAACAATGATCTTCCTCCTTAAACAAAACACCAAACAATTTGGCTATTTTGATTGCAGTAATCTTATGCAAACTGACATATACAGTCAATTTTTAAAAATATCTTTAAATGTGAACACAAAGAAGAGTGGTTTACAATATGGAATAACTAAAAATATTTGCTTGTTAGTGCTTGACTTTATCTCATGTTAAAAGTTTAAATTTCAACTCTTAAATAAATCCACAGAGTCTGTTACTGTCTTACTTGGCAAGCAGCTCTGAGGAAATGAAGCCCCACTTGTTGCAACCAAGTCAATATATTTTATGAGCAGCTGTTCAGTAAATAACAATTAAAACATATTTGAAAAGGAAGCAAAATAAGGAAGAATTTATGTTTACGGACTTTGGTGCAGGATGAATGTTGAAGATAATCTGTGGTCTCGGCGGCGCCCACTCAAGGTTGCCTCGAACTCTAATCCTCAACTTGTAGATATCTGCGTGCTCGCCGTCGTCAGGAGAGATGGGCAGAGAGTCGGGAATAGGCAGCAGCTGGTAGGAGACAAAAGTAAAGCTTAGATATGCTCCACTGCTTTTCAGAAAAAGTTTGCAAAACACAAAACCTATTAATATTGTATGAGGGACCATCATGTTTTAGTTCAGATTAAAATGAGATGTTACACCTTCTGTGGAGCATCGTGCTCTGGAACCAGCCAGTCGAGCTCTGAAGCTGCAGGAAGCTGCATGCCCTCAAACTGCCTGAGCAAACCCATCGCCACCGACTCAGCTGAGTTAGACTGGAGGAAGGAGGGAGAACTAAAGAAAAAGAATAGGAACAACATGTAAAAATTTGTTCCTCTTAAAAAGAAACAAATTGCTTTAGCCACACCTGTTCTCTGCTAATGAACAGAAGCGCAAACAAAACCTCCGAGTCTGTTCAACGGTGCAGAAAGGTGCAAACTGATATAAAATGGAAGTTCCTGAAAATGTCTCTGGAGGATAGACGAGGGGGTTTCTCTGGTTTCATTGTACCAGTTTACCTTTTCTGAGAGATTTAAACTTCCGAAATACAAAAAAATTGCAGAGAATAAAAATAATTACAAATATCAAATAGTACCAAAATTCAAAAAATATTAGAACAAAAAGACTTTGAGTTAATGCACACAGATGTGACTTACATGGAATCTGAGCTCAGGAAGGACCTGCCACTGGAGCTTACACTGCGCTTTATATCGGCATCTGAAAACACATCGAGGTTCAATCAGAGGATTGCAGTTTTAACCTGCTAAACAAAGTGTCCTCACTTTTTTTGGACCACTGGTAGAGATTAGTTAAAAGCAGTAAAATAAATTCATCTGGGATTACAGTACAATATGAAACGGTTTTTACAAACTTAAATACAGCCACAACCAGAGAAGTGCCCAACAATTCCTAATAAATGAATGAATCTGAAGCACTTTGGTACTTTAAATCTAATTTCAAGCTAAGCAGTGTTAAGAAACCTTTGAATTTGTAGAAATTGTGACTTGTTGTTTCCCTGGGGGAATAAATATAAAGTGAAATAAAATTAGAATTTCTTTATTGTCTTTGCACAAAAAAAAAAAAAAACATTTTAATAGATAGCAACTCCCAAAGGCAGAGCAAATAGATAGTTATCCAATCTTCAAAATGGGAAAGATAAAAAAAAAACATCTCATTCAAGTAGTAAATGGTGTTTAAAGGCTGAATAAAGAACTCAGTTTATTTTTACACCATTCACAGCAAATCGTAGCAAATAAAAATCTTCTAAATTTTATTTTACACTAGTACAGATCTCTACCAGAGGCGCTAATAATTGTAAAGCGTATTGTACTATAAAATATTCAAAGTAACTCAGGGATTTATAGACTTTAATGCTACAAATAGCAGAAAAATTATTCTACAGCAAGTTAAAAAGCAGAAGCTGGAAGAAGTTTCTCATTAGTTTTGTTTCCCCGTCAGGAAGTTAAAAGAGCTACAAGAGTGCAAAAAACCTTAAGAGAGTTCAATTGAAGGATTACACCATTTAAACTTTACAAAATAAGAAATCTACTGAACAAAAAAAATTTTAAAAATTGATTATTAAATTAAAGCAGGAGCATGCAGCAGAAGCTTGACAGATTCTTCTACATCACCAAGGAAAGGAAATAAGTAGAACAGGTTTGGCAGAGCAGGAGAATGCCTGCAGCTGCTTTTTCTTCATGTCAGTTTCTCTTTATCGCAGGATCAACATTTTGGCTTGTTGTCACGCAGCACGGATTACACTCAGAGCCTTTCACACGTACAATAGATGTTCTCAGCAGCAAGAGCCGGTAATCAAGTCAATAAAAAAGGCTTTGTACCTCTGCAATGGAAAACATCTACATAATTAGAGAAACAGAGCTTGATTTGGCTGAGTTAGCGTGAGACGACGGCTGTTTGAGCTGATTATTCAGGCAGGTTGGCGATTGAAATTTGACACATTACGATTTTAGTCTGTGGCAAAAAGAGGAGTGAGGTGCAATCATAGCAGAAAATTTTGACTTTTTTTGGAGGAATTTACCATCTAGGTGAGGGATGCTCCAAGTTACATGAAGCAGAAAATAACTGCAGGTTATTATTATTATTTTTAAAAAAATAAAGAGGAAACACTTAATATGTTGCTAACTATTTTAGATATTAAATCCCAGTACCTACAAGCCACAGCGTTTACTTTTATTGAAAAATTAAGAACAAAATGTCCATTAAATGTGAAAGAGGATTCTGAATACTCACTACTATAAAACATAAAATAATGAAGTGGATGGATTATGATAATGGAAGAAGCTGCAGTCACAGCATGATGCCACTCATTTCATTCATCTCCTCCTTTAAAGCAGACAGATACAGACACACTTGTCTCCTGCACCACCAAATCGTTGAAGCAACAGAGTAACAAGCAAACAGGTCAACTCAGGTGAGGAGGCAGCTGGCTCGTCTCCAAACAAGACCGTTATCAGAATAACCAGAAACAAATCTCACAATTCACTTCTACGGAAAAAAAAATCAAAATCACTCTCTAATTATGATGTTGGTCTGAACATTGTAGATGTTCAAATATGTCTATTTATTACCAAATTATAATTCACAATTTTGAGCCTAATGATCAGGCATTTTACTTTCAGTATTTATTCTTTTAGAATAAACAAGCCATGGCATTGTCATTTGAATTAAAAATATATATTTTTTTTTCTGTACTTTTCCTAGAACCTTCTAATTGTAACTATATCACAAGTCCAGCAGAAAAGAAATGCCTTCACATAATAATATCCTTATAGAAATGTGCTTCAACATGAATTTATAGTAACTTTCAAAATAACTCATACCACTTAAATCTTTTCACTTTTTCTCATGTATTTAATACAAAATAAAACTTAATACAGTTAAAGAAAAATTATCCTTTTATTTAACAAAAATCTAAAAAATGTTAAAGAAGGTTCTCTGGTCAGGATTATAATCTTGCACTGTAGAGCACCCTGAACACGATTCCCCAAACAAAGACGGTGGTGGCAGCATCATGCTTTGGGGACACTTTTCAAAGCAGGAACAGTGAAGCTGATCTGAGCTGATGGCGAGATAAATGAGGCCATGCAACAAGAAAATGTCTCAGACTCAGCAAAAGACTCGCTACTGGAGTAAAGCTTCAGCTTCAAAGTCGAACAACTAGCCTAAGGATAAGAGCTACACTGTAATGGCACATGCCAAAGCGTAATCATCCAATTATGAACCTGTGGAACACAAGTTTCATTCAAATCTGAAACTAAACGTGACAACTTATTAAAGACAAGCTGAGGTTGTAGTACAAACTGTTGTACGCCACTTATGTTTATGTTATAATCACTGTACAGTATATCGTCCTTAAGTTTACTTTTTTTTTTTAAATCTTTGTGTTAAACTACATGTCTCAATGTTCTGTCACTTTGCTGCTGTTGTGTGTAAATTTCTCCACTGTGGAACAATAAAGGTAATTTCTATTTTATTCTATTCTTCTATTCACTCTGAGCCACTACAAATGTGTCACACTTCCCAGGTTTCTTTATCAAAAACTATGCCACTTTCATTTCTGTTCACAGTTACAGACCATCGCCTGTTAAAATTTCAAGTACTTTCTAAGTACATATAAATTTGCGGTTTGAACATGTCAAGCGGTATGAATACTTTTCAAAGTCAATATAAATTACACTCATCAGAAAGTCCAGTGAAGCTTAAAGCTGGTGTTTTTTTTTCCCAGTTTGGATCAGAGCCACCCGCTTCCTCTCTGTATATAGCCGTACAAAGCTGCGACGGCTGTGAGTCAGCCAGCAAGATACCTGAGAAGAGGGAGGCGAGTGACAAGGAGAGGCCGCTCTGAGACACCGCCAGCAGGGACTGACCCGCACAGCCATCTGAGAGACAGAAACTAACACTCAGCACTGTCACTGCCCACAGGAGCACACCCACTCAGACATTTCAACACTGGACTCAGAGGTGTGTTAGTGTTCCAGCCAAACACAGTCTGCACTGAGAAGAGAGCTGTGAAGGTCAAAGGTTAACAAATCAACAGTACTGAAAAATTTAATGAAACACGCCCAGGTTTAATGAGCACACATCCAAGAGAATCGTTATTATCGACATAATGCACGTTTAGATGTAGATGTTCTGTTAATCATCTCATGTTTTCGGGAGATTTTGTGAAGCTTTTACAGCCAAAGCTCCTATAAGAGCCCCTAATGGGCTCGTCACGAGTCACCAGTATATTTTATATCCACAATCAGCAGACTGGCCGCTGTACTCTGACCTACAGGTTATAGGAGATGATAAAAGCTGGTTGCTGAGCAGCCAATGATGTTATGAGATTATGAATCATGAAGAAAATGGAGGGGGAGAAAAAAAATAAATAAATCAATGTACAATAAAAGCTTTGGGAAGGATATAAATTAAAGAAAATATTTTAAATTTGGATTAAAGTAATAAATTTAGATCTTTGAAAGCAGCCAGAAGTGAAGTCGATCCCCTGCATTATGTAATTACACCTCACTGTACTGTTGAAACTGATCAACTTTTTCTTTTGTAGAAAATAAACCATCAATTAAATTAGTATTTGTTTTTTTGTTCTTATCCCTCGTTCCCTCTCTGTACCTTGCAGTTCACATTCCTCCACCTCCTCGGCCGAGCCGGAGTCTGACAGGCCCTGGTAGGAGTCCTGAGAGCTCCTCCTGGAGCCTCCGCTGTCAGTGGAGTGGAAATCTGAGCACAAGGAAATAGTTTCAATAAGTCATGCAAAAAATATCACCAACTTTCTGACTTTTTTCTGAACATGTGCAGAACCCATTACTGGTAAAAAGATTGTTAGGTTTTCTCTCATGTTTCAGCATATCAGAAACTAAAAGAGGTAAGAAAGTTAAAGCTCCCCCTTACCAACAGTTATTTACAGAATCTAAGTTTCATGTAAAATACTAAGCAGTTGAATATTTTGAGACAGAGCTGGGTGTTGAGTTGTAACTTGGCCTACGGTGCTGGGAGGTTGTGTAGGGTGGCAGACGGCTGCGGCGGATCTGCTGCCTCCTCAGACGGATCTTTTGTTTGAGCTGCTGAATCTCGGAGTCGCTGTCTCCCTCCTCCTCGCCCTCTTCCTCTTGGCGCAGCATGTTGTATTTCATCAGCTCAATGGCAGCGATGAGGGACTCGGAGATGCTGAAATGAGCATTTTCCTGCAAAGCATGGATATTACCCAACATGTCTCCCAAATTAAACTCTTCACGTTCTTTTGTAAGTCTGCTAAACCGTGACCCGAGGTGAATCACGACTCTACCTTTTCTAGGTCAGCACAGCTGCCAAAGTCCTGCTCTGACAGATAGCTGATGAGGCTCTGCCCCTTCGATGGCTTCCTGAACATCCCATCCGGCACACTGCTGTATTGGGGCCCATCTGGTATCAACACAGTATGCACAACTTTAAGTCAATATGCAAAACACACAAACAAGGGAAAAGATTTTATGTTTGATTAAGCTTTATTTTATTATTTCTATGAATTTGCTAGAAGCCATTTATAGTCACATAAACAAATGCTTTTCCTGCTGGGAATCTCATGTTTTCTTGTCAGCTTAAAAAAGAAATTAAAATTGTTTCCTTCTAAGAAAGATTTCTTGAAAATTTCCTCTTATGGTTTATTGCATCACTGCAGTGCAAACTTGGAGCTCTTGATCCGAACTAAAAAAATAAAAAGTACTTAGTCATACCTGGTATAGTAATTATCGGGTATGTGTTTAATTATGTGTTGTGTAGTAAAATAAAAACAAACTTCTGCTTCTTTCAAAAGCAACAAAGAAACAACAAAATACAATTAAAACCTGAACATGAAGGAAAGACTAAACTTTTCTGACAGGATATGAGACTCACAGGACTCCATGTAAAAGGAACTGGGAGTGCTGGTATTGCGCTGAGGAGAGAAGGGACTGTAGTCCTTCATGCTGGAGTCTTCACTTGCTGACTCTGAAGAACAAAAACAAACATTTTTATAAACTATAAAATACTTTATTTACTGCATTTTGAGCTGCATTCTACATCCTTACTGGAAACATGTATGAAAAACTGATGGAAGACAATGAAATGCTGAACTTATTTTTGATCTTTGTTTATATAAATCATGTATGTTGCCTGCATAGAGAAACATGCAAAATAATTTAAAATAAGCATTGAACCTCAATTTTCCTCAATAAATACATTTCTAGCCTTTCCATTGACATGATATTCACATCGCATGTCTGTAATCAAGAAATTTGTTCCTACACTAGACACCTTGCAAGAAGTCCAGTCTGTAACATTAGAAATATCTAAACTGAGAAAAATGTGTTCAATACTTTCTGTAACTGAAGTAGATACTATTATACTTGGACTATGGAGTAAAGTGTTTTAAACTACATAAAACGTGGGACTTAATCATAAAAACTACTGAATTCTTGATTCTAAAAGTTCTTTGCCTCACCTTGTTGAATATAAAAAAAGTAAAATTAAAAATGTTATCTTGTCCTTCAAGATTTCCAATAAAATGCTGGGACAGGAAATAGAAACCAAATATGTACATGAAGAAAAGAAAAGTCACAGTGGAGGTAACCATTTGTTTCATGAATTTGAAACAATTTATCAAAATTTAAAAAATAAAATAAAATACAGCTCCTGAGGAACAAATTGTAAGCTGAGCACAAGACTGGAAATGAGAAGGGTAAAGTTCATAAACATGCAGTGAAACAAAAATTAAAAGAGGGTGAAATGGGGTCAAATGATGGGAGTACAGATAAACTGCACTGCCAACCTGCTACTGGATCCTCTATTATTATGGTGATTTTTCTGTGGCCCCCTCCTTTGCATAAAAAGTGAAAAGAGAGCAGAGAGATAAAAGGATAAAGACAGTTTTACTGGAGCTGAAAAGGAAAACAAATCGAAACAGAGGAAGTTAAGTAAATTTTCTAACACTTTCAGGCAGGAAGTCACAAAGTCAGGGTTCCTACCCATTTTACATGTTATCAATGATGGACAAACAGAAAGACAGACAGACCAGCAGAGCAAAAGAATGGATGGAGAGACACATGTGTCTATCCATGTGTGAAAATATTTTTTCCAAACTTTTTCATCCAAATCTGAAAAACTCTGCAATCGAATTCCACTTTGCCAGATTGTGTAGGAACCCAACAGAGGACAGTCGGAGCATTTCACTCTGATAATGAATCCACCTCCATTCAGTCCTCGTCACTCACCATTCCTGAGTTTTTGACTGATCCCTGTGTCTGAAAACGAGCGGGTGTGTCCTTTGGCCCCCCTGCCGGGGCCTCTCTGGCCCTCTGAGAAAGACGAGCGCCTCGGCGGGGTTGAGGTCTGGGAACTCTGTTGTGTGCCAGATTCCTTTGTCTCGTCCTGCTCACTACTGTGGGTGGAGTTTTGGGAATCACGATGACTGCGGTGCCCCAGGTTGCCGATAGCCAGATACTCCGGTCCATCGTCGGAGTCGCCGTCGCAGGAGTCCCCGGCCTCGGGCTGAACGGAGGAGGACGGGGACTCCGACAGGGAGATGCGAGGGACGCAAATTGATCCAGGAGACGGCGTCACAGCTCGCTCACTGCCTCCCGGCCTGGACACAATCACCCACGGAGTTTCCACGCTGCTGGTTGGAGAGGTAGTGTCTGCATCACAGCATCAACAAAATTATTACCACGGAAAATTGCAAAGAAACAGAAAAACATGTTTACTTTGGTTATTATATTGTGCAAAAAGGTGAACTCTGCTACAGTTGTTACTGATGTCAAATTTCAGGCAGGGGAAGCATGGCTGCACAACACCATATGAAAAGAAAAAGGAGTGAAGAAAATGACATTAAAAATAAGAAACTAACATATCAAGTACTAAATAATAAAGAAATGTCAGAGTTAAAAACGAAATACAAAACTAAATTGAATGTAAACTTTCATTGCAACTTACTCTTTATGGGTACTAGCAGCATCTGCCTGATTACATAGAAATACAAGAATAATCTAAATTTCAAAAATTTGTGCTATTCTAAATTTTAGAAAGCTCTAGCTTTTCTGTCTTGATGTACAAAAGAAACTCAACCTGATAGTAACTTTGTGAAGAGTATAATAAATGTCATTTCCTGCTTGAAAAAACATGGAAACTGTTTCCGTTCAGTTGTTTTGATATAAGGCTGTCGCGTCTATACATTCCTCAAATACTGATCTGATCCGCAAACAAATAGCCTTCTGTAAGTTTAGTTCAGTCAGTCAAGTCACAAACAAACTGCTGTGAATTCACAGCAACATAGCCAATATGTTTACTAACATTTGCTGAAAATTTGTGTGAAAACATGACTATCTACCATTAGTCTAGCATAACATCATTGACGAGTCAGAAAATAATGGCATCAGAGAAGGAGAAATAAGGATGGATCAATAACCTTTGTTTGTCAATCATTGGGAAAGACAATGAACTCACCCTCCAGAAACCAACAATAGATTTTTCACCCATTTAAAATTTACACTAATAACTACAAAGAAAAAACTGAAAAGAACAGGACAACCTTTTAATAAACCCTTTTGGGACCTCTTGAAAACATGATTTAGATATATTTAGAGGCACATAAAACCTTCACTTGGTATTGATGCTTTCTTCACTCATGTTGTTGCCCTTACAGGATCGAGCTGCTGTAGTGTTTGCTGGCCTGTGGTTGGCCGCGACCGCTTCTCGCAGAGAGCAGTTTGAGGTGGTTAGTCTGCGGTTCAGAGAGTCTCCTCCAGGAGCTGTGTCGGCGTTCCTCCAGGTCCCTCCGGCCCCTGGCAGCACACACAGGCTCTGGCTCTTCAGCAGACTCAGGCACGGAGAGCCTTTCAGCGGGGAAAGCTGGAGGAAGGAAATTAACACTTGATGTGATTCCTTTTTCTACTCCCTACAAATTACACTCAACCCTAGTTGACTAATAGATGATAGTGAACCAATTTCAGGCAGTTTGAAGCACATGTGAAAGTTTGAGAAACCCACCCCAACAGTGTCTACTTGGGCCAGCAGTTTAGGATTATTCTGCTCCACAGCCTCCAGACACTGAAACATGGCCGTCACATGAGGCTCACTCAGCAGGAAGGCATCGTCTGAAGGGCACGGACACGAGAAAGAAACAAAAACACGTAAACAGGAACCACTGGAGAACATTGAAGGAGTAAACAGTGTTTGACTTTCACTCCCAACCAGTGCGCTCACCATTGTAATATTTCCGTGTGTTTCCCAAATGCCTCAGCAGAGGTTTGAGCTGAGCTGACAGCTTATGAACCTGCAAGCTGTGCAGCAACCAGCGCTCGGCCTTGTGGCTCTCACCGGCGCTGCGCAACCCGCTGCTCAAAACCGGCTCCATGTGATTGAACTAAAAAAATGAAAACAAAAACAAATATCCAAAGCAAAAATATTATTTATTTTGAAGCTCTACAAAACATTAGAACGCAACCAGAACACTTTGGTAGGTGCACAGCTGCTTTCAACTTGAACTGACAAGAACAGAAAGCAAGCGATCACATGACTGTTATGTCACATTAAGCCCTGCTGATCAGCAACAGCAGCAAAAATTTGGGTAATTTCATCTCAGCTACTAATAGTCCATCTGTTGCTTCCAAATCCCACAAAAACAAAGGACTGTTTCCATAGCTGGGGATTCATTTAATTCTCCACATGACATAACAATGAAACATACCTATCAAGTTACATAAGAAGATTTAGGATTCCTGACATGTTTTTATTATTAATGATTTTTACCCTTCCAAATGTATTGTTTTTCTAAAGCAGATTTTCATCCTTTCTCTTACGTAAATTAATTCACACTACAGAACACATTTGCATTAATTCAATTTATTAACCTTTTTATCCTTAGTAAACAAGATGCTATAGTAGCCCTCATCTATTTGATGAATCCCTATGCATCCTGTATTACCAAATAAATCATTTTCCTGTCTAAAATTACCAAATGATGAGGTATTTCATCGCAGTAAACAGTCCTGATTTGTAGTAAAGATATGTACAAAACTAAGAGAACTACTTTGATGTTCAAAACAAATATAGAAAAATGATCATCCTTTTTGTGGTTAAAAAAGGATGATAATTTTAGCCAAATTATTATTCTTGTAGCTTAACTTTCTCAAGAAACTTTCAAACTCATCAAGCAAGACACGGACACAAAGTTTCTAGGTCTAGTAATATGCACATTAGAAATGCAGAACTGAAAGAAATCCATCTCTCTTTTTCTAAGTGTATATTTACAGAAAATTTCCCCAAACATTTGAACCTGCTGCTATGATTTCACTTTTGTTCCCCTCTCTGAGAAGCCCATACCTGTTCAACGTGCATGGCGAGGTGGGGGCTGATGTAGCGAACACACCAAACAAAAGGCCAGTAGTCTCGCTGCTTGTAGTACATCTGCAATGGTTTTTAAAACATTAAGAAAAGTCTGTTTTCATAAATAACAAAACACAATTATAAAGAACACCACTGTACAGGACGTTACCTGATAACAATATTGCTGGTTAAGTCTAAGGTAAAATGGCCAGTATCAGTATCATTTTATTATTATTATTATAATTATTATTATTATTATTATTATTATTATCATTATTATTAGGGCCTCCTTAAATCCTAGTGAAGTTATTTGGTGAATCACTCAAAGAAATGTTTTGTAAAATAGCTACAAATAAAAAATAAAAACTTTCCCAGGTTGTGTTTTCACTTGTCGATGCGATAACTTTTCAGTTGGCTAGCCAAGTTGATGGTTAGGTCAAAGTTGACCAAAAGCTGCAACTTCTGCTCAAGTGTGAGAATGCCCATAGATGAAAAATCAAGTTCATCTTCAAGAAAAAGAAAGCTGAAACAAAGCTGCATCCCCTGACCTGCTCGTTCTTCAGTCTGTGACCAAGGATGTTGTTCATGTCTTTGTGCAGCCTCTGCAGGCCGCCATATCGCGACCAGACGTTGGGGTTGTTGGTGGACACGAGGCCCTCCACTGTGGTCTTCAGGCTGGAGAGCAGCTTCCATTGCTCCCTCCTGGAAGCACAAAAAGAAACAGGGATGGAGAGAGAAAAAAAGACGCAGGGTGAGTAGGTTAAGGAAGGAAGTAAAGAAGTGCTGGCGACAGCAATGTGGTTCAACAGATCAAAACACATTCTACAAAAAAAGGATGTCTCAGCAACTTAATGAATACTTTATAACTCATTTTACACTAGATTGACTTCAACATTGTTGATATGACTTTCTAAATTACATTGTTGTATTGTTCATATTGAAATCCCTCTATCAGTATGAGATACTACATAAGTTACAGTTCAGAGTCATGGTGGTTTAAAACCAGTACTTTCTTTTTCCCCTCTAAAGAAACATGGCTGAAAGAGGAGAACAAATCAGTAGATGGGATCTGGAGGGGACAGCTTAACTTTGTGCTTTTGTTAGGTTATGAAAAAGACAGAAAGATATGCCACACAATGTAAATATAAAATATAGTAATGGATGTTAAATTTAGACATATTCTATCAGACTAGAACTGATAGAGCAGCTCTAGGGTCACCTTTATGAGAATAAATCTTGTCCATGTGAAATAGCTTGTTGTGGTCAGCCACTAATCAAATCACGTCACGTAACTGGCTTAAAGTTAGATAACATTTGTCACATACTGCAGAGCCTTCTGAAGTTAGGCAGCAACAGAGGACTCATTGTGTCTAAATGCTTGTACAGGAGCAGAGAAATCTGTTTTTTGCTGGAGGTGGAAAGAAGAAGAACAAAAACTAAGAAAAATCACTCGTGGAAAGTCCTTCTGCAGCAGTAAATGAAAGTCACATAAAATAGCCCAGCTGATGTGTCAAGAACACGCTGTAAGAACTTCCAAACCATTCTCCAAAACTGCAGAAATACTCAGATGACTCTGCAGTCATCCGGTGTTTCAGAGATGGACGAAAAGTTGAGTACAGAGAGCAGGTGGATCAGTTTATGTCATGGAAATAATCATCTTTTCTTCAATTTGAACAAAATAGAGGAGAAGATTGTACATATCAGAAGAAACAGGGTCAGGTCTAACACTATTTCCATGTTGGAAGAATAAATGGAGGTGGGAGGGTGGAAGAAATACCTGGGGGTTCAACTGGAGGTCAGTGTCAACACAACAGTGTAGCAATTTATAAGAAAAGACAGAGCAGACTGCACTTTAAGAAGTTTAGGTTATTCAGTGCTTCCAGCAGGATGCCATCGCTCTACATGTCTGTTGTGAAGAGCAAAATCTCTTCTGCCATCATATGTTGGGCAGCAACATCAAAACCAGAGACTTAAAAAGGCTCAACAACCTGAAAATGAAGGACGGTTCTGTTCTGGGGACGACTGTTGAACCATACAACAGAGTTTCAATCAGAGGTTTCTTTAAATTTGCTGTAATACAGACAGCTACAGAAATTCCTTCCTGCCTAAAGCCATTTACAACAAACAGCTCTTTAAATAAATTGTATAAGTTAAAGCATTTAATTTGCCTCTGGAGTTAATAAAACACTCCAGCTATGTTCTTGCAGCTCTGAAAGAGAACAAATGTCACTGTTTTTGTGAAGGTTATAAACACCACAAGTGTTAATCTCTTGTGTTAAAAATCCAACTCAAATAGGCAGTTGACATTTTCAATAGATTACAGCGGATTGTGTAGGAAAGCGTGCATGTAGAAATTTGTCAAACATTGATAAAGATTTTACAGTTAAAACATCTTCTAATATGTGAACTGACAGAGAAAACTCAATCTGCTTAAGAATACAACCTAAGTAGTTGTTTTTTTTGTTTGTTTGTTGTTGTTTTTTTTTACATTACCATTCCCTGGACTCATGTTTGTCAAACTTTGGGGGAAAAAGTGTGAGTAGTAACATAACTGTCTGAATGCAACAATATCACAGAGCCTGTAAAACCTTATTTAACAGTTAGCATTAGCTGCTAGCACAACTTGTCCAGGATTAGTATTTATCTATGAGCGCTTAGTTAATAATTGCCAACAATAAAGCTAATGGATAACTAGAAGTCATTTCAAATACATAACGTAACAAAACTGTCAGAGTAATTAAACAGTGTCTGATAACAGCTTCACTTTTAGTGTGTGGGTAGGAATGTTTACCAAGCCTTAGCATCACAGCTAAAACTCCCGCTAAGGGCGCTTCTGTAATAACAAAAAAATATATTTCTTGCCACATTTCTCTAAACAGTCAACAACAAAAAAAGAATGTCAATTCGTGTTTTATGTGTGTCGTGCCGTTTATCTGGCGAAAGCCAAACGCAAACCCAACCCCCGGCTATCCGGAGGTAAAGCGCCCAGCCCAAGCTGTCACTTGCCTGCGCTCCTCCGCTTCTCCCTCCGCCGTGACCTCCATCATGTTCTCCAGGCGGAGCCGGCCGCCCACCAAAGCTGCCAGTTTCCCGCTTATTCCAGTGATATTATGCTCAAGAAAGTTTTAACGCTGCTACAAAGGTTGTTGGAGGGAGTCACCTGAAGTCCGAGTCTCCCGCCGCCATGTCTGCGGTAGCTGCTGTAGCCGAGCCAACAATCAAAACACAACAGGCCGCATATCAGCTCTCATCGGCGGATGCTGCGTCAGCTAGTGGGCGGTGCCCTGCCTTCTTTCCACTGAAGAAAGAAAACTTGTAAAATTAGACAGTGGTGGTTTTGTTTCGTATATTCTTTTTGGGTGGATGAAAATCAATATCTTTAATTGATTTCAGTAAGTTTTCAGTTTATCCAGTAAGAGGTTTTAATGTAATGAGTTACCGGTTGGATTTCTAGATCTTTCTATGCAACTTCCAAACCTTTGGCAGATACTGCCCCCTGCTGTTTGAAAATAGTCCATCAAACTAACACTTAGCCATTAGCATACGTAATTTAATGCTTCTTACAAAACTATTCAAATTATCATGGTTGAAAAAGCTGACTTAAAAGAAACTCCATGATGCAACAGAGCTGTCTTCTACTATTTATACATTTTGGTTTAGTTTGTCTTCTGAATATCATATTGTGAAAACGAAAAATTTTGCAACATTTCTTTACACTAAACTAGATCCTTAAACTCAGACTTTTCACTTGTTCTCGCTCACATAGAAACCAGTCCTAACAGTTGTGAACCACATGTACCTTTCTTTATGCTCTTAAAAAATATAGATTCACTCATCATTCTCTGGTTAAAACATTCCCAACTGCAATCTAATTATTTCTGAGAAGATAGAAAAGTCAACATGTTTCCTTTCTGCTCGTTTTTTAATTCACACCAGAAAGGGTCCTACTATGTTATGTCCACGTGATGGCGCCATTGTGCTGAACTGGCTCAAACTGGCTTGTATTTCTATCAATAGATGGCAGTGGTGTGTCAGGACCAAACGGTTTATATTTATTATACCGCTGCAATAGAAAGAAGACGCCATACTCTTGGGTTTTTAGGGCATTGATACATATTAAAAGTCACCTGTTTTTTTACCACACTCTACAAATATTTTAACCTAACCTCAAAAACCACACAACAGGCTCCACACCCTCATTATTTTAAACTACATCAAAATACAATGGCTGTGTGTGGACGAACAAGACATCTCATACCAACTGTGGAGTAGTGATGATTTCTGTCAGAAGGCCTTGGCCAAAGTTTGAACTTAATCCAGGTCATGAAAGCAGTTAAGCTATATTGTAAAGAAGAGCTGCTTTAAAAATCCTCCGTAACAAAGCGAGGCACTGCTAAAGAATAACAGAAATTTATAACTTCCCATCATTTCCATGGTTTTACAAGCTGTTGAATCATATGCTGCTTTTCTGTGGTCCTTTTTTCTGGTAAATAATTACAGAACATGTTTTTATACACTTGAGGTCAGAGTCAATATAAGGACATAAATAATAATTACACAACTGAAAGTGGACATAATTTCTTTCACAGGACGTTTATTAGGCGAGACTGCATATGACCAAACGAGTGACTGTGTCTGCATAAAACACACATGAGCTCATGTATTTACGACACAGAACAATGTCAGCAGCACAAATGACGAATTCCTGGATTGACTAAGCCTTCCATTGTCTTCTATGACATTACATGAAACCAGAGACTCCTTCCTCCTTCACTATCATTCTTTGCAATCTCTCGGGAACTACATTAAAATTCTTATGTAACAAAACATTTTTTTTCTGGGCTGAAAACTAATGCCATAAATCTTTCATTTATTTTGCTCCAGATCAATTGATAATACACAAAAGACAGATTTTCATTGTCTGCCAGCGGTGTTTACTGTGCCACATATGAAAAATGAGCTTCAGGAGCCACGACATGTCGAGACAAAAAGAGAATGAAGCTGTAGGGCAGTGAAACATTCATTCATTCATGGTATAAAATATACTGAAGCACTTTGCTCATGGTGACATTAGAAACACCTTCCCCTAATCTAGCACAATGCTAATGGGGCCTAAGTGACTCATAACTATGAAGTGCCGCTGCATGAACACACTTGATCTGTGGAAAGTATGTGAAAAGGAAGGTCTGCCACTGTGACGCAAATCCTGGCTGATCCAGTTTATGGCAGCGTGCTGTTCAGAGCCTGATAGCGCTGCTCTTGGAGTTTGCTCTTTCACAGTTGGGTTTGTGGTGGAAGGTTGACACAACCAGGTCTATGTAACCCCAAGTGAGGCAAGTATGCTGTTTAATCAAGTTACAGAACGGATCCATTTTCAGCGCATAGTACAATTCATTTCTTCTTCCTGTTGCTCCATGCAGAACGCTGCCTCAGGATTCTGCATGGAGAACAAGTGCTTGTTTGAAATGGAGCTTTGGATTTCACTTTTATGCCAAGATGGAATCTGTGATTTAGGAGTGTGTCAGAAAAACTGAACTGGATTTATTTCAATTAAATGTCATCTGCAGAATAAAATGTTCTTCCACCATGTTATGTAACAAAAACTAAATTAATCAGTCAAACCCAGAAAATGTGAACAAAGGAAGGTACTACTGGGTCATTCCAAAGCAAAACAGCAATAAACTCAATAAAACAGGAAAAACATCATATGTAGAAACTAGAAGGCCATCCATAGGTCAGTAGAATCACTGCCGCAAAAAATAGCCTCGAGGCTCATTCCTCCTCTTATTGGATCTAAATGCGAGATGATCAGATTAAGTGTAACTTTGTAAGAGAGAGAGGGGAAACTGGATTCACATGACATGACAGCACCTGTAAACACAGGAGCCTGGATTCTAGGGAAGCTGATCTCAAAATTCAAGAGCAAATAGATTCATGGTCGTGTGTGTCAATGCTTCAGACAAATTCTGCTCTAAATTTCCAACTATTCAACAAACAATGGAATGGTTTGGCATTTAGGGTGGTCTTCAAGTCATTTTTATTGTATAGTTTCAATTTTTCACCTAATATTTCAGAATATTGCCACTTTTGCACTGCCTGCAACAAAATCAAGCAATATGTATTTGAATGAAAGTAAATTTGTATTCATTTTCAGCAATAAGGCAATTCAAAGTGCTTTATTTGAATAGTAGGAAAATAAAACAACAAACCAGCAAAAAACCCAAAACATTAAATTGTAGTGGTAATATAATAGGAAATGAGGACAGGATGAAAAACAAACTACATTTTATGATGTTCTGGTTGCATTTAATCACCTATACACAAATGGCTGTTAGCATTGATTTAAAGGATCTCAGTTTTTTAGCAGTTTTGTAGTTTTCTTACATTTGTTCCAGATTAATGGAGCATAAAAAGTGGATGCTGCTTCTCCATATTTGGTTCTGGTTCTGAAAAGTAGATTGGAACCAGAAGACCTGAGTGATCTGGAAGTTTGATACAACACCAGGGTTTTAATATATTTTGCTGCTAAGGGAACCACAGCTCCCTCACCTGAGCTGTGGTTCTCTGAGCTCCAGGAATCCAGTGTAATAACTTTAGTCCTTACAGGACAGGATTATAAAGAACTGTACATTTTTTTGCAAACTTATTGTTTTGGGAAAATGTTCCCACCCTCCTGACAGTAATGACAGTTTTTGCTCATAACAGAAAACTACATAATAAGTTCTAACAAAGGGGAAATACTAAGATCATCTTTAGTGTCGGCTCTGCTTGCACACAAACTTAAATATGCAGATAATTAGATGTAGAATATTCTGAACACCAGTACTAACATGCTCTTCTGTCTGACTGTATACTTACTAGTGGACATATTTCTATTCAAAGCCAACTTGCAAAAACAAATAGTCAAAATCAGGTACAACATTCAAATTTATCCAAAGATGTCTTACAGTTATCGTGCCTTGCATAAGTATTTTTACAGTTCAAATTTGAAAGAGAGGTGCATTTTTTTTTTATTTAAATCAGATCTGAACTTTGACTGGGACATTCTGACACATGAAAATGACTTGTTCTAAACCAGTCCATTCTAGCTCTGGGTGGATGTGCAACCTCTTTATTGCAGTATTGTCCCTAATGCATCTTATCAATCAACTATGACCAGCTTTTTTCTCCCTGTTGATAAAAAGCAAGCCTGCAGCCGGCTGCAGGCTGCCACCATCACGTTAACTTTACTTTACATGCAGGCATCAAAGAAACAGGTTTAATTTTAGTTACAGTTCATTTGATTTAATTTTAGTTTGCTTGCTGCAAATTACAGACAGGAGTTCATAAGACCAGATTTTGCAGCGCACAACGAGTAGTTAACAGATTCCCTCACCTGAGCTGTGGATCTCTGCAGCTCTTCCACTGTTACCAGAACCCACCAGGCTGCTTCTCTGTTTTATAGTCTCATAGTCAAGTCCGTCAGTATCAGTGTTTATGTAGGTTTGTAGCATATTGTTTCTCCTTTGAAATGCTGAATTGATCTGCAAAATATTCAAAGCTTGGGATGTTGTTTTATTAGCTAACGTGGTTTGAACCTCTGATCCTTTGTATCTGTGGCCTGTCTGCCGTGATCATTGGTATTCATTTTGCTATTTGTTCCCTGACATCTTCAGAGAACAGCTATTATTATAGTGAGAGCGATTTAAGCATGGGTGGACTGTAGGCAACTGATTTTGCCAGGATATCAGAGAAAAAGAAAATACACAGTGCCACCATCTTGCCATGTCTCTCTTGAAAAATTTATTGTAGATCTCAGAAGCTTTACCTGGTTAATTGTTTAACCAAGCTTTATCCGATTATTGTTACACTCATCCACTTTTGAGATTCTTATTTGTAAAATGTTGAAACTCATTAATCATTGTCTATGGTAGTTTTTAACTGTGTCTTGATCTAACACATAAAGTCCTAATAAAATATGTGAAAGCCATGTGTTAATATTAGCTGGCATCCAGCCAGAATTTATAAATAAAAAAGAGAAAATAAGAAATCTGATTTGTATTTACTGATTTTCTGATTTATGTGCGAGTCGACACGTAGCTGACAAGTGGCTGAGGATGGCGTCATCTTGGTTTTTACACGTACCTCTGCGTGCTCTGGTGTCATCTGCCTTCTCTCTCTGTATCAACGGTGAAGAAAAAAAAACAAAAGGATATCGCTCATTTCTAAGGAAAACAGGTAACTACTTCCTTCAGGGCAAAACAA